ACGCGCTTTTGGGGTTGGATTTTTTTGTACATCATAATGCGCATCCAAAATGAATTTAAGGACATCTGTCATTATTTTAATTGCTTAGCATTTACTTGAACTGTGCGTTACCAGTTTACTTATGATATGTCATCAAAGTAATGTTGTTTAAAAAACTGGATTCAAATAAAAGTAATTTCAACAGACCTGTTCTACAAAATTACCCCATAACTTTGCCCCACTTCAAATTGAACTTAGGAAGAGCCATGGACACAATCGAATAAAATCAAAATATATATTTTTTTAACTATGCGTTCACTCATGGGAAATCGAGTTCTTTGAGAACTGGTATAAGACGTGACTGTGATTGTTGGAGAGGGTATGTTGAGAGTCTTTGCGATCTCATGTTAACTCACCAGTTGTACCGCTTGTGTACACCAGAGTGTTGATCGTTTCTGGTTTGGGTAACTGGAGAGTTTTCAAAATATCAATTTATGTAGGATTACTTTACATCACAAAACTAATCTACATATTAATATATCGAAAAAGATATAAACTCATAAGCCCATCAAAAGTTTGCATAGTTTACAAGCAATTGTACACGACTAGGAACCTATTTTATCTCATAAAACACATCACTGATATTCGAATTTTTAATCAAGTTAGCAACAACAACAAAAAAGAACATTTTCAACTTTAAACACACTCTGGTACAGTCAAACCTGCTTTTATAGTAACCACCTCTTTAGAAAGACCACCTGTCTATAAAGATCACATTTTTGTTTCCCTTGAAAATGGTTTCTCATCGAAAAATTTGCTAAAGAAACCTGTACATAAAGACCACCTGCCTATAAAGACAACTTTTCTTGTCTCCCTTGGGTGGTCTTTATAGACAGTTTTCACTGTAGTATTAGAACTCAGAAAATGTCTAGATGAAATTACAAATTGGAAATGATCAGTACCACTCTGTCGACTACATTCTTTACTCCGCAGCTAATGACATCATCAAATGACACCAGCTTGAGTCCCTCCGCTTCAAATGCAGCTTTCTGCTCCCCTACGCCTTCAGTGGGAAGGTCCATGACGATCAGAGTTTTGAGACTCCGAAGAGCCGAGTGTTCCACTCGGAGACGGTCGGCTTTTTCCAGCGTGTCGCATACGATAGTTTCCATGTTAGCTAGATAAAAGATATTAAATGTAAACATGATTAAAGGTTGAGTTTCTGATTTCCTATTGACAAGCCCCAAATATATTTTTTGTTAAAATGTGTTTGCACATTTATGTATAAAGGTCAATACATCAGTTTTTACGCTGAATTGCCGTTTCGTCTACAACCAGCCCGTCTATCACTATCACTATGAACATGACAGACAATGAAAGCGGACAAAATATACAGTCCCTCAGGTAGACAAAGAAACATCCCTTCACTGCTATTATGTAAAAATGTGTAGAACAGGTGAATATGCATGTGACACCTGTTTACATAATAGCAGTAAAGGGATGTCCCTTTGTTTACCTGAGGAACTGTATATTTTGTCCGCTTTCATTGTCTGTCATGTTCATAGTGTATGAACATGACAGACAATGAAAGCGGACAAAATATACAGTCCCTCAGGTAGACAAAGAAACATCCCTTCACTGCTATTATGTAAAAATGTGTAGAACAGGTGAATATGCATGTGACACCTGTTTACATAATAGCAGTAAAGGGATGTCCCTTTGTTTACCTGAGGAACTGTATATTTTGTCCGCTTTCATTGTCTGTCATGTTCATAGTGTATACTATCCACATGGTGTAATAATCATTTCGTCTACCTACCATGTGGTCTAATGACCATTTCGAACGATAGTCATTTGGTCTAAATTCCATATGGTCTAATCTCCAATTACTCTTTTATACCCATTTGGTATATTTTTCATCAAGTCTTATAACCAGTTAGTCTAATTTCCAGTTTGTCGAATGCCCATTTCGTCTACCATCCATAATGCCTTCTAATCATGTGATGATTATTATTATTTATAATTAATGAGTATTGTACCATATGGAAACTAATAGACAAAACGGGCATTAGACAGACTGGAAATTAGACCGACTTGAAATGGACTAAGTGAGCAATAGACTGAACGGGAAGTAGACTTATTGGAGATTAGACCAAATGACTATTAGCCTAAATAGTCATTAGACCACATGATAAGTAGAAGAAATGATCATTATACCATGTGGATAGTAGACAATATATGGGAATAGACCAATTAGGTAGTAGGCGAGCTGGTTTTTAGACCAAACGGCAATCAAACGGTTTACCAAATACCCATATATATACATATATATATATATATATATATATATATATATCTTTTTTTTTTTTTTTTTTTTTTTTTTTTTATCTTGCCAAAACTGACCCTGAGTCTACATCCGACTATCGTACATTTCCCATTCTCACTTGCTGAACCTTATCCGTGTTCTTCTTAAAGGGCCACTCTAACCCAACTAACACAGCCTTTCAAACATGAATACACCTCTACTTATTAATATTCTAGCCTCTGATTTTTCAGAAAACCTTTAAATTGACCAAAAAATGATAACAACCTTTTTAAAGACATTTTAATGCCTATAAATCAGCCTCCTTTTCACCGGAGAGGCGCCTGCAGTGACGTCATAAACAGTTGCGCAATACAGCTTCAAAACTGGGCATTTTTCTGAGCGTTCTGAGTCGTCATTTTTAAAGCTAGATTCCAGAACTATTGATGATTTCTAAGAAAAATCATTGTCATGTTTGGAATCTCCTTCAATCTTTTTTTCTACATGTCTTTTTTCCATTTTTTAGCCCGTTTTGGTGAGAGTGGAAGCCTCTTCTTCTACTCTTTTCCTTTATTCTTCTATAATTATAAAAGACCGGTTTACTAACATATTCCAATTGTATGAATACTTTTTAAACAAAGGATGTTCTTGACAAAAATTACAAAGCTTACCCGAGGCAAACCCAACATAGCAACAAGTACTGTATGCAGACTTTATTCAATAACAGGTTAATGGAATAATTCGTCCCCAGGAAAGAAACATCCATAAATTTGAGTATGTTAGTATACCGGTATATACCCTGACACTATGAACATGACGGACAAAGAAAGAGGACAAATTATACAGTTCCTCATTAATTCTCTCCTCAACAATTGCTGTGGTAGACAAAGGAATATCCTTTCACTGCTATTATGTAAAAATGTGTTGAACAGGTGAATATGTATGTGACACCTGTTCTACACATTTTTGCATAATAGCAGTGAAGGGATGTCACTTTGTCTACCACAGCAATTGTTGAGGGTAGAATGAGCCCGGCCCCCCCCCCCCACTCAGTGTTATTTAGGGTACGCATATGCGTGTTCCAACCGACCCCCCCCCCCTTTCAGCAAAAGTCCGGTGTGTAAAGTCAATACGGCTCGACCTTTTTCTTTTGTATACGAGCCTTTTTCAGCATCCCCCCCCCCCCTTTTCAGCAAAAGTCCGGTGTGTAAAGTCAATACGGCTCGACCTTTTTCTTTTGTTACGAAAAGGACATTTTGGCAACACGCATGCGGTCATTTTGAAACCTGAGGGGGGGGGGGGGGGCGGGAGAATGAGGAACTGTATATTTTGTCCTCTTTCTTCGTCCGTCATGTTCATAGTGTGATTCGAGTAAGGTTTCATTTCGTTTCATTTTCCTGTTCATACAATGTGCGCATGTGCGCCACCTTTCCCCAGCAGTTTTGCACTTGAAAATCTAAAGAAAAAAAAAAATCTCCTTTCTTTAAAAAAAAAACTTTTAACACCATATACCCCCCCCCCTTTTACATACTCTATATGGGGGCAGTGCCGTACAAAAGACCTGCAAAGTCAATTATTTAGAGTGTGATAGTTGGAATTGTGAGTAAATAGAAATTTAATCTTACTCTGTGTAATTATCCTGTCGCATGCTCTGATGTCTACTGTGTTGTAGAATGGTACTGATATCATGGAATAATGCATGCAAGCGATATCTGTAACGGCCCACTGTAAAAATAAGGAGAAAACACGATGATATTAGATATTCACAGTGAAATAATTTGAACGTAATTTCGAAACCCCCCCCCCCCCCAAAGGAAGTCACTCTTGCAAAATGAAAAGAGTATAAACGCTTTTCGAGTTTATTATGAAAAAAAAATCTTTGTTTTTTGTTCGTGTACTTTAGAGAACCATGTTCTCAGTTCGAACCAAAGGTAGATTATCTATTACTTAAAGCACAGTATTATCTTTGCAAACAATATGCATGTCATACGTTATCTCGTATTTATAGAGTTAGCGTCCAATATTCAGATAATGTAACATGTATGGTTTATAATTTTTTTTTTTTTTTAAATTTATTTATTTATTATTATTTTTTTTTACCTCTGGTCTATTTTGGGAGAAAATCCCAATAAAAGTCTCTTGGCCAGGCTGGTTGCCGAGCGCAACGAGCCCAGAACCGAACAGGGTCGCCTGCTCTTCTACCTATAAGTGGGAGAAATAGAGAGATAAGATACAAGCAGAGAGAAGAAAAAGTCGAGAGAGAGAGAGAGAGAGAGAGAGAGAGAGAGAGAGAGGGAGAAGAGAGGGGGGGGGGGGAGAAACTTTATTCAACCAATTTATTCAACATGATATAGAAAGTACAAACTGATAACGGTTTTGAATTATTTAAGTTGCGATCAATCAAATATAAATTGACAACACTGTGACGTATCTTGCGAGCTCCTCTCCACATACAATTTCATAAACTTTCATTTACCTATTTATTGATGACGGACTCATAGATTTTGTTTCTAGAGGGAAAACAAACATTTATTTTATTCTTTTAGTACAGGGCAAATGGGAAGGGAGCTCGCAAGCTGCATGTACGTCACATAGTTGCCAATTTGTATTTGATTGATCGTAACTTCAAAAACTCATAGTTGTCTAATTTTTAATCAGAATTTGAATCAGAACTTTCACGGACCTATTTCTCAAATTGTTCTGCTTATATTAAAAACCAATTTAACATCATGGTGGAATTCCCTTTTTAACCTGAGTATATAATATTTTTTTAGTGGGGGGAGGGCAAACTACGGTGATCTTTTGAATGTAAAATAATAGGGAGGGTTAACATTAAGTGATTCAATTCCGTCACCCTATCAACAAAATACCCCCTTTCTTAAAAATTGGCAATCTGTAAAATGTAATTAGGCAATCTGCAAATTGGCAATCTGTAAAATGAAAAATGTAAATGCAAATTAAAATGCAAACCTGAGAATATGACATCCACTCGTACGCCTGACCATCGCCAGGGCGCTTGCCCAGAAAAGGACCATCATCTGATGGGGAAAGAGAAAATAGTAGAAATAACACGACGAAGAGAGAGATGGATCAAGTGCCTAAGTGTTCTGGAATCCCTGTCGAAACACAAACATTGTGATAACCTTTTTGTTCTCATTTACTTGTCGAAAATTTGGTTGAAAGAATTGTTTGCCACACTCAACCGCCTTCGAGATGTTCTACAGCGCCTTTTTATTCCTAAAAGACGGAGGTTATTATATAATTTAAAGAAGTGACGGAGATGATCATTTAAAGCATTTCTATGGTGCCGATATCATTAATTTCTTTTAAACTCAGTCATTCAAAAGCACTCTCTTCAGTAAGGTATTATTTACGCATATACTGAAAATGGTATGTTTCGAGGCAAGATTTGAACTACTATGAAAGTAATCACCATGATGATTCTTCGCAACAACGACAAGCTATAAAGCTTAAAGGTGAAATTCAAAGAAAATCAAAAATATGTCAACTAATGTATCACTAGAAACTGGTAAGCTAACAGATGGCCATTGAACAAGTTTTAGGTCAACTACATATCGGGTGATTTATAAAAATATAAATACAACGAAGGGTCCCATTTGTTCAAAATTTCTAAAATTTTCGGGTGGTTGCATGGCAAAAGTGTGAAAAATGGGCTTTACTTCGGGAGAAAATTTTTCCCCCCAAATGACCCTTAAAAATTGGAATAATAGGGGGTTCGAGGATTGAGCGGCACACCCCGTCCAAACCAAAATAATCTGAGAACCCCCCCCCCCCCCGGTGTGGATCATCATCATTATGATGACGATGCCAATAATTGTATATATACAAACTTAATGATGATTTCATTAATGCCTGCTTTCACTTCCTATACTACATTAACGATGTACTTACTTGAATGTAGTTTTCCACGTTGGAACCCTTCACATAATGTGGAAACATCGCTGTAGAACTGGTCGGGTTTGTAGATATTCGGGTTTATTGGACTCATACGGATCCTCTCCGGGCCCTTTGATATTATACAAAACAAACAGAACATAAACATGATGCTCATGCTTGGAATTCTTTTTGGCAAAGAAGTTAAGGCGACTGAATCCATCAAGAATAAAGGGAAATTATTAATTCCACACTGATTAGGGGTTCTGGATACTTCATTAAAAAAAAGGCTGATGCTCATCCATGCATGTACATTTGACTTTGAATTCATCAGGCCAAATTAAGGTGGAAAAATTCAATTAGATCAAAAGAATTCACCCCACACTAAATAATAGTTTCTGGATACTCATTGTCAAGCTTCGTCCCGGGGCTTTGTCGGCCCAGTACAGTGGTATTCAGGCAAAGGACAGCCATAAAGCTGCGCAAAGAAATAATTTCGGGTCAAGTCCACATGCAAGAGTGGATTGCACGTCCGCGGAATATTAAGGTTGGTAGATGTTCAAAAATGGAAAATATTCCCGGCCTCCCCACTCCGGGAACGGAGGGACGGTCAGGGACCGCATGCGTGTTCCCAAAATCTCCAGCTCGTAACAAAGAAAAAGATCTGCCCGTATTGACTTTACAAAACGGACTTATGCTGAAAGGGGGGGGGGGGGTGCTGGGAACACGCATATGCGTACCCTAAATATCACTGAGTGTGGGGGGGAATATTGTTTTGCTGTAAAAACAGATTTTGTTTTGTTATATCGTTCTGCTGTATGTAAGTTTACCTTTCATTATATTTTGTTTGTATATTATGTATAGTATATACATTTTATGTTTCATATAATTTTGCAGTGTTGAGCGATTCTAACAAAGACATGTTTTTCAAGTAAATAATAGTTTAAACCACATGCTAAAATAATATTTGTTTGCATTATCTCATATTATAATACCAATGATTAGAAACTGAAAAAAAAAATAAATAAATCGCAGAAAAATGGTGTCTATATATGTCTTTAAGAATTACATCAATTTTGGGTTAAAATTATTCTGTATATACGTATATTCAGCTGTTTTGCTTTATTTTGTTGTAATTTGTTTTTATTTAGTGATGAGATACACATTTTCTGTATTCGATTTCTCGTGTATTTTGACAAGGTTTCATGGAAGACAACATGATAACATTGAATAAATAAATAATGATTAAATACGTTGATCGAATGAATAAATAAACAAACAAACAAAAAGAAATGAATGAATAGATATTAACATATAGATTGATAAATTAATAAACATACATAATAAATAATGCAGCTTTTATGATAAAGAGACAGAATAAAATAGGTAAAACCTGGACTGTCTTACCGGTAAAATGACCGTCTGTTGATGCGCTGGGAAAAGTTTCTCTATAAACTCATCGCTCCCGCTGAAATAATTGACATCCGATGACATCATGGCTGCTGCTAAACATGACCCTTGACCCAACCCTTGACCTGACCTTAAGGTGACCTTTCCTAGTCCTTTGTGACGTAAGCACGTCAAGAAATGACGACATGATGTGGTAGTCGAACGGACTATAGCAGGATGGGCCATCGCTGGAGAAAAAAAAATGGCGGGAAAGTTTTTTCTTCGAAAGATGGCTATCGTCTGCAGAATCAGATAAGAGAAATAGTAATTCAGTGGGCGAAACATTAGCCTCTATTCATTTAACAGTAGAAGAATACTCCCCTCAGCCAGATAACCAATTTTCGAACAAACAATTAAACAGCAAACAAACAACTGCAAGTTTAGATTAGGTCTAGAATGAAACATGTAATAATGAAAACAATTACAAAAAAGTTAACAGGGTAAGGGAGAGGACAGTGGCTTTGCGTTGGACAAGCCATTCAGGTGGTACTGCATATGGCGTCTGGGTGGGGGGGGGGGGGGGGGTAATCTGGTTGACCAATTAAAAAAATGGATGAATGCTGAACAATTAAGGCCATCGTTTTGGGAGGATCAGTATTGGGAGGGGATCTTATCATGCATGGAATCTTATTATGACGTTCTTTTTCTACCCCTCATTATATTTCTCTCACTTCTCCTGCATGTTTTTCAATTTGATGGGGGAGGGGGCGAGGTGTCAGGCGCGCAAGTGCCTGCGGCCCCCCCCCGTATACGCCACTGTTCCCGCTTATGGTTCACGCAAATTTACCCGAATGTAATCATGACGTCAAGCCAGTGGCGGATCCAGGGGGGGGGGGGGGGGCGGGGGCGGGGGCCCCCACCCCTGGGGAAAAAACGTGTAAAAACACGTTAATTTTACCTTTTTTTGGAGATGGGCCCCCTCCCTTGGCGCTCAAGGGGGGGGGGTGTACGATTTTTCAAATTTTTGAGGGCCCCCAAAAGAAAATTAGTGCTCACTACCCCCCCCCCCCCCCCCCCCCTTACTGACCGATTTATCGGTCGGCTGCTGCGCCGCTAAATGTTTTCTCACGAATTGGCCGGGCCCCCGCCCCTGCGTCAAGCATACATCATTTAAGGACTACGTTATATAATCCCAGTATATTGTATACATATTCAATGATTAAACAAATCACCGAGATACAGGGAGATGGTCATAATCTCCTCAATCAACCAGAGCATTATTGTTGGAAGGAAAACGTTGTGAAAACCACCACCATGCATGAAAAGCTACCAATTCCGACCAAGGAACAGCTGCCACTGGACGGAAGTCCCTCAATAGGGTTCGCACAGGGGTGGGGTGATGCAAATACAATGGTGATACACAGATGACACAGACAGTGTGGTGTGGAACATCTGTGCAATCTATGTCACACCTATTAAGATGCCCACTCCTAGATGACCAATGCTGCCTGGAACAGGCGCGGATCCAGGATTTCTTAGGGGGGGGGGGGCCCAAATTTCAAATTATGCGAGCCAAATATTGGTACTTAATGGTGACCAACAGTGACGTAATGCGGGGGGGGGGGGTCGGTGCAAACGCGAAACGCGGAAGCTTTGACGTTTAATTAAATTATTCGAGAAAGAAGACGACTCGTTGTACCGTTGTCGACTCATAATCTTCGTCTGAATTTAGTTTTTCCCCTCCCGCGCAAAGCGCGGAAAATTTTACGATTTATTAAATTATTAGGGAAAGAAGACGATTCGTTGTAGAGTTCTTGACTCTTAATCCTTGTCTAAATTCAGCCCCCTCCCCCTCCTGCGCAAAGCGCGGAAGCTTTGACGTTTCATTAAATTATTAAAGAAAGAAGACGATTCGTTGTACCGTTCTCGACTATTAATCTTCGTCTGAATATAGTTTTTCCCCTCCCGCGCGAAGCGCGGAAAATGTTACGATTTATTAAATTATTAGAGAAAGAAGACGATTCGTTGTAGAGTTCTCGACTCTTAATCCCTGTCTAAATTTAGCCCCCCCTCCCCCTCCTGCGCGAAGCATGGAAGCTTTGACGTTTCATTAAACTATTGAAGAAAGAAGACGATTCGTTGTACCGTTCTCGACTCTTAATCCTCGTATGAATTTAGTTTTTCCCCTCCCGCGCGAAGCGCGGAAAATTTTACGATTTATTAAATTATTAGAGAAAGAAGATGATTCGTTGTAAAGTTCTCGACTCTTAATCCTCGTCTAAATTCAGTCACCCCCTCTCCCTCCTGCGCGAAGCGCGGAAGCTTTGACGTTTCATTAAACTATTAAAGAAAGAAGACGATTCGTTGTAGAGTTCTCGACTCTTAATCCTCGTCTGAATTCAGGTCTCCTCCCGCGCGAAGCGAGGAAGTTTTTAAGTTTCATAAGATTATGAGAGAAAGAAGACGATTGGCTGTACAGTTCTCGACTCTAAATCCTCGTCTGAATTCAGGTTCCCCCCCCCCCTCCCGCGCGAAGCGCGGAAGCTTTTAATTTTCATTAAATCATTAGAGAAAGAAGACGATTCGTTGTACCGTTCTCGAAAATAATCCTCGTCGTAAATTAGTTTCCCCCCCCATCCCGCGCGAAGCGCGGAAGCTTTTACGTTTCATTAAATCATTAAAGATTCGTATTACCGTTCTCGCCTCTGAATCCTCGTCTGAATTCAGGTTCCCCCTCCCGCGCAAAGCGCGGAAGCTTTGACGTTTCATAAGATTATGAGAGAAAGAAGACGATTCGCTGTACCGTTCTCTATACTCTTAATCCTTGTCTGAATTTCAAAGATGTTCTCATGTCTGCTACTTTTTCTTCCTACGTCCTCTTCCGATTTGGGGGGACCGCGGTCAGATAAGCATTCAGGGGCCGCCTTAGGGCCCCTGGTGGGGTCGAGGCGGCGGAGCCGGCCCCGGAAACTCAGGGGTTTTAGGCGTTTAATTAAGGTCAGATGAGCATTTTTTTTTAAATACCTATTATTTTGTGACACTGGAAGGTCACTATTTGGCGTAGGGTCCAGGGGTGGAGCCCTCCAAAAGAGGGGTTTTAGGCATTAAATTACCGTCAGATGAGCATCTAAGGGCCCGCCGTAGGGCCCTAGGTGGAATCCAGGGGGCAGAGCCCCCGAAAGCTTTGGGGTTTTAGGCATTTAATCACGGTCAGATGAGCAATCAGTATCAGTACGCCAGTATCTCCTCTTTTCCTTTTTTCTTTCCCTTTCCTTCCTTCTCTCTTATTTTTTTTTATTGGGGGGGGGGGGGGGGGTGGGGGTCAACAGCTTTGGAGGCAAGGCCCTTTCGGCCCCCCGATCTCCTTCTTCCCCTTTTCTTTTCTTCTTCCTCTTCTTTCTTTCCCTTTCCCTTCTTTTCCTTTTTTCTCTCTTTTTTTTTTTTTTTTTTTTTTTTGCGGGGGGGGGGGGGGCCAAGGCCCGCTCGGCCCCCCCCCCCTGGATCCGCGCCTGGCCTGGAAGACCTAGTGGCAGCAAATGAGAAGGCTCTTCAGTGTGCAAGAGCCTGGCAGAACATATTTTGAGCTCAGATGATGGACACGAAAGAAGAATCTGATCGACATACAGCTTTCTATTGTATGTGCGTGTATGTGGGAGAGAGGAGAGAGAGAGAGAGAGAGAAACATACAGACACACATATATATATATATATATTACATTTATATATATATATATATATATAGTCGGAGAGAAAGAGACATATACATAATTATAGGCCTACATATATATATATATATATAGAGAGAGAGAGAGAGAGAGAGAGAGAGAGGGAGATAGAGAGAGAGAGAGATAGAGGAAGAAGAGAGAGAGAGAGAGAGAGAGAGAGATGAGAGAGAAGGGGGGGGGGGTGGGTGATGAGGACCGATGGATCAAAACTGATGGGCATACGTGCATGATTATATTTTACATCAAGACTTAAAGTTATACTGTTGAATAATACTGTTGATATACTGATTATGATATTGAAATATCCCAAAACATGATATAGAAATAGGATCAAAACATGAATATACAAGTAAGTTTCAAACGAGAGTGCGACTCGGGGAAATTTAATGAGAGAATGAAAGAAATAAAAGGGGAGTGAGTATAAGAGGTGGAAAAACGTAGAGAGAGAATATATAAATAGGAGAGGATGTGCATGTGTGTGAGAGAGAGAGAGAGAGTGTGTGTGAGAGAGAGAGAGAGCGGGACCGGAGAGAGAGAGAGAGAGAGAGAATGTGTGTGAGAGAGAGAGAGAGAGAGTGTGTGTGAGAGAAAGGTGTCGAGATGAATCTTAATCGGGGGAGGGGGGGGGGGGCTGCAGCAAGGAGACTGCATGTGGATGGTTCAGAAACTCGGTATAGGTCCTTTATCAATATCAATTTAAATGATGATAATTATTGAATGTAGCTTTATTGTTATTTTTCTTGTATACGTTTCAAAATAGAATTGAATTGAATTTGTGTTTGCATTGCTGACTGTAATTTCTATCGGTATCAGCAAATAGTAAGCGCTTATATATAGATGCCGTAGATGTATTTAGCGCTATAAACCCAGATTTGATATCGTTATATGACTACTCGATCAAGAGCACCAAGCTGAGGTGATTGTAATATTCTAAACTATACATAATCAAACATGCAATGTTACACTCACGTTGTCTCGAGTGGCAAAATGTTGATAATTTTTATAGTGCATTCCCGGAGTGCATTATGTATGCATAGTAGCATGCACATCCTAGCGAGAATTCCATTCACTATATTCAGGGATATGTGTATCCCTGCTATAATCACAAACAAAGAACGCACACAAAAAAGACACTGCTAAAACACACTGCACTATAGGAGGCTAACCATACTCGTGAGTCATACCTCTAGCCTAATCAATGCAATATCCTTTCTATTTTAGCGTTGGCTAATAAAAAAGAGCTAGTAAGTGCTCTTTGTATCAGCGTTGACAAAACGGATATGTGTGCCGTATGTGTGTGTGAATGGTGTTCGCCTATACACAGCGTGCGAGTGTGTCCTTTTCAAGGGACGCTTATAGCTATACACACAAACCCACGTATATTCTACCCGTTACTGCACACTAGCCATATAGCTATATCTAGCTAGCAACCGCACTTATAGCTGGCCTTTATACACATGCAAGCATATATTCCCTCTCAACTCCTTAGCTGATTTCGTCTTCAAGTTTGCAATATTTTATCTATTTGCATGCGAATTGAAGCAGTTTTAAACACAATGAGGGGAAAATCAGGATGTTCGTGTCTGCCTTGTTGAAGCAAAACTGTTTGCTTTCTTCTACAGATTGAACTTTTGCCGGGCCCGGGACTTTTGAACACATCGACGCGAGAATTTCTAAAGAGGAAACATGGAGGGGATGAAAACTGAAATGAGCGGTGCAGACGACCGGGTGATAGCAACGAGAGCTATCGATACAGATTGGAACGCAGTGGCTCCAGCTAACATCGTGAAACTCGTCAACACTTGCGCCGATGGACTTGGGACTTCTAAGGAGGCTTTCTTCTTTCCCTTACTCACTGCCACCGCCGCCATGCTAGGTCAGAACGCCTACATCGCACTCAATGACCTTTGGTCTGAGCCCCCAGTCATTTGGACGGCGGTCCTCGCAGACGACATGTGCAGAAAGAAATCAGCCGTGGTAAGATTTATTACGCGCTCCATGAAAGTAGCAGAAGATCAAATCAGGAATGAGCATGCGCAAAGAGTCTTCACATCCCCCGACACAAACATTACAGACCCGCTAACAGCAGTTCCACAAAATACGTCAGAATTTGATTTCACCATGAGCAACTTGAAGGAGCGCATGACCTCGGGAGGCCGTCAAGCTTGCATAATAGCCAAAGACCTTCAGAGAGTTTACCGCGCATTGGATGCACCGCGGTCATCGGGGAGTGATGCTCAGGTGTGTCAGAAGGAGGAGGAGGAGATGTTGAAGCATCGAGAGGCGTTCTTCGAGTTACAAACTGGGTACAGCCCTTGGTCAGATGTCACGGGAGCAGTGTATGAAGACGCAAGATTTAATTTATCAGGTGAGTAAAAAAACAAATACAAACAACGTATTTTAGTATAAGCATTAATCATTAACATTATTATTCTCTATTAAAATGGATGTTTACGACTCGAGTCATAATGAAAGGGACTCGAGCGATATAAGAAATACTTCCTTCTTCCTCTATCGATCGGATCTCTTTTTCTCTCTCTCTCTCTCTTTCTCTTTCTCTTTCTCTCTAATGATCAATTGAAGTTATGCAAATTAGAAATTAAAGGCTTTCGTTTGTTTGCATTTACAAGAAGGGAGAAAGAGAGAGAGAGAGAGAGAAGGGGGTGGCGAGACTTTTCCCATGCTCCAACGAGACATGATCGAAGTACATTTAATTAGTGGTCCCTTGAGGATACAATAACATCAAGTTGACGAAATAAATACTTTAAAAAATGATTGGAAATCGCACATTAAGGTACATGCAAATTTGAATAGATCGAGGTATGAGCCGATTTAGAGGGATGTGATCATAGTAGTATATATCTCTATGGATGTGATAGAAAGTATGATACTGAACAGGAAGAGAGAGAGAAAGAGATAGACAGAGAGAGGGAGACACACACATACGAACATTGGAGAACCAATCCCGACTAGCACTCGTGCTAACTTTTGGTTCTCCCTTTAACAACATTTTAAGTTTTTAAGTTTAAAAATATCCTTTATTTGAATCACGCTAGCCTATTGGAAGTTTTGGAACTCTGTGAATTTCAATTCAAGCCACAAATCTCTACGTATAATTAAGTTATAGCTAATTCACAGGTTTGATATGACATGGTACATAATTAATTTAATTTGTACACATGGTTCAACGATATTTTCTTTTTCTTTGTTACTCATGTACATGGATATTTTGTTATTTTGTTACCCACTTGAATACATTTGTAACATTGTGTTATGTTGTTGTTTTGTTGTTAATACATTCAAATTCAAATTCAATTCATACATACATATATACACAACAACAACAAAAAAGGAAAAAAAAAGAGAGGAACAGAAAGCTGAAGGCACAGAGACATACAGCGAGAGAGACAAACACAGTAAATCTGAAAGAGAGAGAATGAGAGAGAGAGAGAGAGATATAAGGGGTGAGGGATAGGCTTTGAAAAGAGCATTTAGAGGATGAGGACCGTGAGGGGATCATAATAGGGCAAGAAATAGACAGAAAACATGGATAGAGAGAGAGATGAGGGCCATCGTGAGAACGGATCGAAGAGGTGAGGGGGGGGGGGGGCGAGGGGGTGTCCACGGCAAAAATCAATCTCGCGTACCTTCAGTCCTGTTCAAAGTCGTAATACATTGTGAAATCTTTTGCACATAATAATAATAATAATAATAATAATAATAATATTTAATTTTTATATAGCGCTTAATACAAAATTAACGTCTCTAAGCGCTTTACAAATATACTATTACCCCGGTCATTGGATTCGGTGCTTGCCCGCACACAACGTGTGCACAACCTCCACTCCCTGGGGAGCAAATCCAGCCAGGCGTTACATGACGCTCAAAAACTGTTTGACCAACAATGACGGTCGCATCCTACCGGGTACCCATTTAACACCTGGGTGGAGAGTAGCAAGTGCAGGTTAATATCTTGCCGAAGGATATTAGTGCCGGTGTCGGGATTCGAACCCTAGACCTTCGCATCTCCAAGTCAAGCGTCTTAAACCACTCGACCACGACACATATCAGTAGGTGATGGAAATAGCTAGATTGCATTGTTATCTGAAGTTGATTTTTTTTGAAAGCCTTTGCGATCATGTTAAACATGTACATTCGTGAAGTCACTTTTGTCAAAAAAATTAACCCCATTTTCGTTTCATTGCATGCATGGTTCCTTTGCAGGATTCATCCAGCCGCAACATGCCAACGCCCTCCTCAGCAACTCTACCGGCTCCCGAGGCTTCCTTGAGAGTACCGTGGCTATCATCTGCCCTAAACCCCGCAAGGTCTACCATAACCAATCCATTGACGCATCCTGCTGTGTCCTTGCGCCAATCTTTTGAAGCTGCGTCGGAACCACATATCGACGAAGGTTTACCTGCTGGACGGACAGGCCAATGCGGCCTTCAGTTCCTACTACAACGACGTCGAAGAGCGACTCGAAAGGGTAAGTGAACTCACAACCGACTTTGAAAGAGGGCGAAGGGGCAACTTGCCCCTCCTGAGTAAACCAAAACTTCGATTTTTTAAAAGCACATAAACGTTGGCCTCGACTATGTCAAAACTGGTAGAGTATTTTACAGTCCACGTATTCAGGGACGGATCCAGGGTTCTATGTCTAATGTTGGGGTGGGGGAGGGGGGGGGGGGGGACACACAGGTATTAAACATTATTCCTGAAAATAAACCTTCAATTTATTTTTTTTTAACTCCGAAACCTCTGACAAGCATATTTATGATATTATTCCATATATCCTTCTTTATTGAAAGACATATAAGATATAGGTATATTTTGTAAAATAATAATAATAATATTTAATTTTTATATAGCGCTTAATACAAATGTCTCTAAGCGCTTTACAAATATACTATTATCCCGGTCATTGGATTCAGTGCTTGCCCGCACACATAAAACACATAACACATTTGGTTGCATTGTATACGTGCCCTATATTTTGATAGCTAATATATCGTCCCTATATGCCAATTGAAATATCTATGAAACGAGTCGTATTTTCTTTCTATTTTCTTTTGTCCCTTAGATGTCCCACGAAGACATAGCACTTAGACGGATACTGGCCAAGAGTCAGGGTCAAGTTGCCAGACTGGCCTTAATCCTACACTGCCTTGAACACATCACCAAGTCTTTCTTCCAGAAGGAGGAAGATGTGATCTTCGAACCCTTGGATGTCATCCCCTTGAAGATACCAGCTGGGGTGATGTACAATGCCATCAATCTGATCCAGCTCTGTGTTCGACACAAGAGGGCGCTGATCAGTACAGATTCATCTACAGCACCGACCCCTGAGAAGATATCGAAGGTGGGCCTTTTACAAGGTCAGAATTCGTTGATCGGAGATTCCAGATTGCGTCAACAGCAGCAGCAACAGCAGCAGCAACAACAGCAGCAGCAACAACAGCAGCAACAACAGCAGCAAAAACAACAGCCACAACACCAACAGCAGCATCAGCAGCCACAACAGCAGCAGCTACCTCAGCAACATAAACTGCAGGTGCATATGCAACAACAGCAACAACAACTCCAACAGCACCTTCAACAGCATCAGAAAGGTCAACGTATCATTGGTGAGGTAGTGAGATCCTCAGAGGCTCTAACCTCGCAGCCTGCAACACTAGTGCCTGGTAATGTTTCTCCTGCTCTATTACAGCAGAGGCAGATGATCAATAGATCTGGATCTGGCAATCAGCCATTGCAACAACCACAGGTTCATGTTGGTCAGCTGGGTCATGTACCACCGACTCTTACATCAATGTCTTCAACGTTGCTTCCCGCACAGTCTCGGCCAATACCTGTTGGGATCAGCGTGGTTCCCAATGGGCCCCAAATTGTCCAGGTGACCTACACACCGGAAGGATCCAACATCCCAGTCTCAGCGTCCTCTCAACAAGGACGAAACCCTGAACTGATTCCATTGAACAGTATGACAGGAAGGCCCATGATTAAACCTAAACAAACTGTGCAAAGTGCGCAACGACTCAACCGCTTCAATGTTTCTCTTCGGCCAAAATCAAACGTGATGCTTCCTGGAAAGATGCTCTCCAGACCATCGTCCAAGCTCTCGTCCGGAGCTTTGAAAATCCTACGACGGGCACAGAAGAGGAGTCCAACCCCTGCCGTCGCCTTTCCAAATGGTTGCCCAACCAGCGCCGACTTCAGGAACTTTGTGGTGCAGTGTCCTCTGAAGGCGCGTCGCGTTCTCACCCATGGTTCTCTCAAGATCGACTCTATTTATGTGGCGCAAAGGAAACTCTTTCCACCCGTGATATGCGAAGGACCCAACGGAAAGAAGCAAGTCAAGTACCCGACGAACGCCGCCCGTGCTTTTCTGACGGCTCTTGCCGATGCGGGGCTTGGGGACATGATATCTAGAGTGGGAAGTCGTTCCGGCAAATCGACATTCAAAAAGAAGAATTTCAACGAACTCTCGCCGGCCGCTCTTGCTATTCTTGGAAGGCTGAATATCACGGAAGCGCAGTATCAATACACTGAAAATACATTATTTCCATAATCCAAAGGTGAGGAGAATGTTGACATGTTCATCATTTCAACAAAGAGATCTGTACAACTGGAATTATCACTTGAGGATCGTTGTTAATCTTTCTGTTTGGAAATAAGACAACTCATTAGCAGCGCTGCAGCCGACGAAACAATGAAAATGGCTCCTTTTAATTTCAAAACCCAAAGGAGAAAATATGTGTAATTATTTTTTGTTTTGTAATAAGTTATTAGTTACACTGCAGACAGTGAACCAAATGGATAAAGACCATTTAGATGTCATGCCCCCAAAATAACTGATATCATAATTGGAGAATCGCTTTTATTGTTTCCATTTCTAAATAATGCATATATCGCAGACTATTTACAAGGAATAACTCGTTTTAATTTCAAAACCTTTCAAAACTAGGTCTACGTAAAATGAAGAATCTGTGCCAACTTATTTTGATTACGCACAGACATAATTATACACGTATTACTATCGCATTTGAGTGTCTTATTTTACGTGAAAATGCAGATTAAATAATGGAAAGTATGAATATCTGATCTTCAAGTACTCTAATATTTTGTTTCAACATTTGATTTTCTTTAAGTGCGATTTTCTTTAATTCACGATGTCTCCAACAATAAATGATGATGAATAGATAGATTAATGACAAATAGTCTTCAAAAACTTGACCAAATAATCACAAAAATCAGACCGGCAATTTCGTCAACTTTCTAATTTAAAGTGCAGAATGGTTAATGGACAAGAGATGAGTACAGCTTATCGAGATGTGAGAGAAATATTGATCCTTTAAACAGACCGCACCGTATACGACCTTACGATCTGATTTTGGAAGAATTAGCAAAAGCATTTGATGTGAACATTGAAACTTCTAAAATCTTAATGGTCGATGATTTGAATGGACATGTGGTTGATAAAATTGACATTTCAATTGATTCCTTGGAAGATTAGCTAAATCGGCTTAGAATCGTGGTGACGTCATACGAGTATTGTGCGGTTTTCTATGAATTAAAGCCGATCTGGCTTTTATTTCTGACTAGAAAGCACTTAAATTCTGGTTATTAATATTCTTATCATTATAGAACCTACATCAGGAAGGTGGTGTTTGTTTAGTTTTCTTTAGGCCCTATTTAATATAATTGTCATTTCTTCGAAATTCGGATCGCAGCAAGATCGCATGATATGCGGTGGGCAATGACTAAGAGAAGAATGAGTTATGGGAGAGATGGAGAATACGTTGTGAGCTCCTTTTATGCTTTTTATTTTGATGTGGGGAAGAACATCATACGAATGAAACTTCAAATGCCCTCTTAAACGAAATATGGTGAGAAATATCTAACGTTTGTGGCACACACTTTCCTGCCCCAGGTTTGTGTAGTCCCATGTACATGTATGTAAGATAATATTTTATCTAGACTGATCCCATTACATTCCAAAACACCACATTATACACCAATACCTTTTTGCTACATGATGAACCTTTCCCGATCGCTTTCACATCATTTCTTTCACCATGCAATTACATGACAAGAACTGGACTGAAAAAACACGTGATGAAGTACTTATGATTGCAGAGTAAAATGATATCTTGGTTCTTGTAAAGCCCTACTGCTACTAATAGTATTAGTGCTACTGCTACCAGTGCTGCTACTTCTAATCTACTACTATGCTGCTGCTGCTACCATACTACCACTATACTACTACTACTACTACTACTACTACTACTACTACTACTACTACTACTACTACTACTACTACTACTACTACTAATACTATTACTACTACTACTACTACTACTACTACTACTACTACTATATAAGACTATATAAGTACCATTACTACTATATTACTAAGTACTATTACTACTACTACTACCACTACTACTACAGCTTTTACTAACTGTATTACTACTACTTGTAATGTTATTTTACCACTTCTACTCATAGTCCTACTAGAAGGCCTATACTTCTTTTACTTTTAGTGCTACTACTACTACTGCTACTACTAATAATTTAGTTGAATGGGTCGCTCGTTCCAGAATTCCGCGGTCGGTTGTTTTTGTCTCATTCCACCCCTCTCCGCCGATGTCTGATGACGCCGTGTTTGATTTTAATGAATGGAATCGGTGAACGGGTCTTTTGAAAATGTCTGCACTTTGTGAAGGTCGTCAAACTATATTAAGTGCGCTGCATTGTGTAAAAACAATTCCCCTGATTTATCGCATAAAGAGATAATGAAGCATGTGATTGACGCGAGTTCTGTCTGCAAACACGTCATTTTATTTATATTTAAAGGAAATATTGACCTTTGGTAAAATTTGATATGTGAGTTTTTTCATGATGTTAATGTCAGTTTGGAAGACTATCATGGAAGACACATTTCCTGAAAAGGAAAGTCTTACAATACCCCTATATTCGAAATATGAAAAGTAAAAGTACCTTCTCTTCAAGCGGTCTCCTTTTCTTACTGTACAGTACTGTTTTCAATATCCACTAGCATGCTTAATAAACCTTCATTCGCCCATTGTCCTATTATCATATTCAATCCTACCCACCTTCCACTACCCCCTCCCTCTCTCTCTTTATTCTTTCCCTCTTGGTCTTTGTCGTCTCTCTCTCTGCATGCCCCTTCCTCCCCCCTCTCTCTTTAAAAATCTGGTTCTCCTATCCTGCTCACTGTATATTATCTATCTTTCCCCCATCTCCCCGCCTCTCTCTCGCTCTCTCTTTCTTTCTTTCCCTTTTGGTCTCTGTCGTCTTCTCTCTAGATCTCTGCATGCCCCTCCCTTGTCTGTTTCTTTATATCTGGTTCCCCTGCCCTTCTCATCTCTCTCTCTCTCTCCCGATATCCCCGTCCCCCTCTCTCTCTCTGTTTCTGTCCTAGTATTCAAATTATGCAAGGGAACCCGTTTACTTTCTAGACTTCCCTGACAGACACTATAATAATTGAGTGACTGACTGACATTTTTTTCTTCTTTGGTAATAAGAAACATGAAATGAGCTGTAACAGGTACATGAGCAATTTGTCTACATCAATAACCCACTACTTGTAATGGCCAAATTTAAACTGATTGAATCTTTGTGCAGCACAAAACGTACGACCCTTTGGTAAAAGGGTCTGAAAATCAGACTAGTGCTCAGGTGATTGCAATCACTTAAGTCGATCAACCACTAATGGTCGTTATTTTCCCCACAAAAAGCCATTTTCAAACCCTTTCTTTTTGAGGGAAGTTCTAAATAAGTATTGTCTTTCAAATTCCGTTGGAATTTAACCTTTTCATTATTTTGACCTGCAAATGGGACATAGTACCTTAAAGAGCTGGAGTCCCAATTGGCAACAAATTATTTCAAGCAGCTGCCGTTTTCTAAGGTTGCACAATAGAATTTACAGATGTCCGAGGTTCGATGCCGCACAATATAATCTACAGATGATGTCCGAGGTTCGATGCCGCCAACATCATTGGAAAGCTTGAGTAGTGATTTTTTCACAAGAAATATCGTTACAAGGGGAAAATCGAAAAGATGATAAATTATGAATGCAAAAGCCTGATAGTGTCAAGAAATTTGCTTACATCGTACAATACATGATGTAGCAGTTTTAATTTGTGAAAAATAATAACATTTTACAATCCTAAAACCTGCGATTTGACACTTTTCCGATTACTTCCTGCACACGAAAAAAAAAAAACGTTCTTATTTTTTTAGACGGGATTTCTTTCCCCTCGCCCTATAGAAATATTCCCGAAGGGAATGTTATAATTTACAAATACAGGTACTATATGTACGTATTATGTTTAATGTAACTGTTTACATATTTATTATGTTAGTCACTGTCTATCCGTCTATATGTCCAGTGCATTCTTCTGTTTTATTTGTTTTGGTCGATGTAAATTTTGTAAAACAGTTTCTTTGCTCGTTCTTGACAGAACGACTCAGCCAATTTGACCGAACGCCAAAATACAACAACCAACAACAACAAATCTTTAGACGGGAAGGTAGGGGGGGGGGGGTGCGGCCAGTGGCAGATCAAGGGCCGGGCGGCGGGTGGGGAGCGGGCGGTGAAACACGTTAATTTTACCATTATTTGTTACAAAAATAAGACAGGCACCCTCCCCTGGTTCTCAAGGGGGGGGGGGGTGGGGTCTGATTTTTTAAATTTTCGGGGCAAAAATAATCATATTTTTACGTCACTGGAGAACACCTCGCTGGTGGAATATGTGGTAGTATATTGCAAATTTATCCAGAGAATTTGATGTTCAAAAATACTTGCGACTGAATATGAGATTTACAAAGACCTTTTCATATCGAAAAGGAAATCGTGAATCTATTAAGGCAAGATATTTGATTAGTTGTCAGGCGTCTTCCATCTGACATTAAGAAGAAGAAAAAAAGTCTTATGAAATGTTACACAAAGATTTTGCTTTCAGTTTCTTTAAATATCTATCATTATCGGAAAAGGAGTTAAATAAAAATTGATGGATATATTTTAAAATAGAAAAAATATGCTCACTTACCGGATCAGTTTCTAAATTCACAATTATTTTTGATGTTCTCACTCCGAATTGTTCACTTGGAAAGTTTGTCGATCGACTGCCGTTTACCTTCTACGTTAGCTCGTATCTATTTTCCTATTTCGTAGTATTCGAGTACTATTTTGATCAAAATGAGTACACGCCTCTTTTTACACTGTCTTGATAGGCTGATGAGCAACGTCAACGAACTATGCCAAATAACAGCATAGTGAGCCAATGTTATCAACATTGTGATGTGAATGGTTAAAGATTGCTTTGTTATAAATAGGCTTCAGAATATCTTGAAATCCTTCATAAACCAGGTGTCATGTGAGAACGGGTATCAAAATATGCCAAATAGAGTCAGGTTGTCGCTAGACCTTTTTTAATGGGGGTGGAGGGGCAGGGGCGGATCCAGCCGGCGGCAGGAGAGGGGGCCCAATTCGTGAGAAAATATTTAGCGGCAAAACAGCCGTCCGAGAATTCGTTCAGTAGGAGGTGGGGGGGGGGGGGTAGTGAGCACTAATTTATTTTGGGGCCCTCGTAAATTTGAAAAATCACACCCCCCTTGAGCGCCAGGGGGGGGGCATCTCCAAAAAAAGGTAGAATCAACGTTTTTTCCCCAGGGGGGGGGGGGGGGTAATTAACTCGATAGATTTCAATAAGAAATAACACAACATCTTCAGATCTTTTTGTCCACAAAATGGGAAAATGTGATAATTTTCGGGGATTTGCAATTTAGCGAAAATTGTCAGACAAGGTTGCTACTTCCCCCCCTCCCCCCAAAAAAAAAACGGGGAGGGATTGACACCCCTACGCATCCCAAAGGGTATAGTAGGCATCCTGTTTTAATCAGTGTAAACTATTTGATACTTTTCGTCTAGATACTTCATTCCATGACTGGTTAAGTAAACATGGCGTGGGCACATGACTTCAATATATGATTACTTTGAACTTGTGTGTGATAATTATCAAAGTTGTATGATAAAGATGGCAGGATGAATACCTATTCTTAGTCATGCCTCGGAAATAACTTAAGATAAGTTTGACATATATTTTGAGTTTCCACCCCCATGTCTCTAGTTCAACGGACTTTACCGCACTTTAATTTTCTTGTTGATTTTTGTTGCTGTTGCTGTTGGTTTTGCAGAAGTTTGACATTTATTTAGTTTTGGTTTTGGTGTGACAATATTTTGTGGGTAATCCATGCTTTGTTGTTGTTGTTGTTCTGTTCGTTGAGATAGAGATAGAGAGACTGAGAGAGAGAGAGAGAGAGAGAGAGAGAGAGAGAGAGAGGGGGGAGGGAGAGACAGAGAGAGAGAGAGAGGGGAGAGAGAGAGAGAGAGAGAGAGAGAGAGAGAGAGAGAGAGAGAGAGAGAGAGAGAAAGTGGGCATTGGGCAGGTGACACGATCTCGACTATTTACGAAAAAAAGTCAACTAAAGCGCAAGTCCCATAGAAATCATGTTCGGGTTACGTCATACGCCATGGTCATGTTCGCACATTTCAGTAGGTGACGCGTGAGGGAATTGAAATTGCTTCACGTTGATTTTTCGAAAGTAGCTGCTATATTGTGCTTGGTGCGTTCTCACGACTTCAAATTATTGAAGATTCGAATCATTGTCGTTGTAGTTTTCATCATCATTATCCATCATTATTATTATCATGACTATCTCTATTGCTGTTTATCAATTACATTATTATTTTCATTAACATTTATTATTATTTATTATTGTACCATATAACAACCGACTGATTATGACTAGTATTTTTCTTCTTATTAATTAAAACAACAAAATCAAGTTATGATTTTTCAGAGTACAAGTTAACAAGAGCAGAATAATGAATGACCTGTCTATATGAATCTTACTTTGAAATGAAAAGTTTTCTTATTTCATTGTTTGAAAATTGGGCATTTTTTTACATACTGATAAATTCTGTGTTTAAGCTTTGAATTTATCGTCTTTCAAAAGTGACTTTCAAGCCGTGTTAATTATAGTCCAAGAAGATTACTCAACCTATTTTTCACTTGAAGCGAGTGCACGAGATCTCATTGTTTGTAATTATACTATTTTATGCAAACATATTTATCTTACTTGTAAACAAAATTACATTTAGGAGAGACAGGACAGAGAGAGAGAGAGAGAGAGAGAGAGAGAGAGAGAGAGAGGTCCGGGGGCAACTCCAATATAGCTCTACATAATGGTGGAGCAAGGGTCAAGCCATCAAAGGGGAAGTGGAGGGTGGGGGGGGGGGGGGGGGCTTCTTGGATGTGAAGGCCATTAATAAGGCCTTGAGAAAGAAAGATGAGGGGGGGGGGGTGTCCCCTATCCTTTTCTTTTCTTGTCTCTCCCTCTCCCTCTCCCTTTTTTTTCTTTCTCCCTCTGAATTTTGCTGACTGACATATCCTGTGTCTGGTTTTCAATCGTATACCGTCTTTCAAAAGTCACTTTCAAGCCATGTTAATTATAGTTCAACAACCTTTGTTTAGTCTGAAAACGAGTGCATGAAATCTCATTGTTTGTATTGATATTATTTTAAACAAACATATTTATCTTATTTGTACAAACTTCACATTTAGGAGAGAGAGAGAGAGAGAGAGAGAGAGAGAGAGGGGGGGTGAAGGGGGAGGGAGAGGTGCGGTAGTATGAGTCACAGAGAGAGAGAGAGAGTGTGTGTGGGTGTGTGAAAGAGACAGACAAATTGAGAGAGAGAGGTTGGGAGACAGACAGAGAGAGACAAACAGGAGAGAGACAGGCAGGAGAGAGAGAGAGAGAGAGAGAGAGAGAGAGAGAGAGAGTGTGTGTGGGTGTGTGAAAGAGACAGACAAATTGAGAGAGAGAGGTTGGGAGACAGACAGAGAGAGACAAACAGGAGAGAGACAGGCAGGAGAGAGAGAGAGAGAGAGAGAGAGAGAGAGAGAGAGAGAGAGATTGGGGGGGGGGGTGATGAAGTGAGTTCAAACATAGGTAAACTTAGCTCTGAAACACACGTGATTACGAGAAATCCCTTCTCCGACTTAAATACTTTTAAAGTATTTCTACGACATTTTGAGTTATGGACTTTAACATCTTTAAAAATCTTTCAATCTGAACATATTTAAGTATTTAAAAAATGAATATTCCCGATAGGCCTATGCATATAGGATTCATTTCAAGACATGGGCTGCATTTCACAGAACCATCTTTGTGATAAGCAATTAAAATTATCTGTCACGATAGTATTAATTTGCCTGGAATACATGCATGTTGTCTACATTAGTCGCTGGTATGCCGTCAAGCCTGTAGCAACCTTACGAGTCGTCAACAATTACATTTTGTTTATAAGAAGAATGCATACAATTCAAATACTTGAACTTGGTGTTATTAGAAGTTCATATTTAATCAATGAAAACAAGATGTAATTCATTGAAATTCGTTAAAAGATTCATAACGTTTATTTCATCATAAAATAGCATTGAATATATTTCGATTGCTTTGTAACAAAATTCTGAACGCTTTACACAATATTTTGAAATAGTATGATCATTACCCGCGTAGTTGTTCACCCAAAATTAAAATCTACATTACAGTTTTTCAAAAGGTGAATATCACGCTGGAAATAATAAGTTCATGTCGTCTATAAAACTCCCCCTTGGGAATAAAATTTGTTTCAGGAGGGCACATAATTATTTTAAAAAATGTATAACAAGTACTTTCCTTCAGAATAGTCCATCTTTTTTATTAAGATCACAAAATGTTAAAGTAAATGCAAATAGTTTGCATGTAGATGTAGCCAATATGCAAGAGATAAACCGCGAAAGAGCCTGGTCAATACTGGAATGTGATCTTTAATTCCTCAACGTAAGCAAGAAATAAATATAAATTTATTCTAATCAGCTTTTAGTCGTCAAAAACTAGATTCAACTAATGAAAGTTTTCATATGAATAATATTTGAGGAATTCGGATCGCCTCTTGCTCATTCTCGACACGGCAATCAGGAAGACGTGAGCAATAATTCTATAAATACCACAACAAAGAAATAAGTAATTTTGTTTGGTATCTACAAAATCACATTTACAAGCATAATGTGCAGCAATATAAGACAAAACAATATCATTGATAACTGGGACCCATTACAGAAAACAATTAGTTGTTTATTAACTTCTTTTCGTAGAATAACCCGTCATGTAACTATCGAAATACATTTAGAATAAAGTTCTTAGTAATTTACATAATGACACTGTGCTAACAATAATAACAATAATTTCATATGCTTTATCTACACCATCTTTACTATGATAAATATATTCATCTTTTTTACATTGAAAGAAACAGAAATGAGCAAAAATATTTGCTTGACCTTTGACATTAATACATGCTAAAATATAAGAGAGAAAAAACAGATATGACCTGCTAATTTACACAATTTGAAAAGATTAAGTACCCGTGAACGGTGATGATAGTTGTTTATGAAAATTTGTGACAAAAATATGGAAACGTTATGTCAATACAGTGTAAACTTGCTAAATTTTCTACTTTTTTTTATGAAATTGCACTCAAACATTGAAAAGTGATCACAGAGTTAATTGTAACAAAATTTCAGTTTTTAAATTTCAGTTTGATGAAATGCATTTTCAGAATGATGGATATCATGATACATCGGCATTGTATTGATTGCAATTTCACCTTGGGCCATAAGCGTACAAGGCGTGGGGAGGATTTATAAAGTTCTGACATTACTAAATATTTGTCAATCGAGTTGCCCGGATAGGAATGTATATTTTGTGAATCTTTCAAGACTAAAATTTCATGGACATAATGAACTGTAAGAGAAATTCCGGAATGCTGATAAACCACTTCCTCCAAGCAAAACAGTTTGATCCTTCATTTTGAACAACAGAATGGAATGCCTCGTGTTCAATTACAAGTGAATTTGCCCATATTTTTACACAATTCGAGGACAAACTGACAACGAACACTTGCTGAATTAGCTGAACTTACACCCCAACCAGAGAAGAGATATTGATTGAGCTTATCTATGGTAACAGCAATCAGATTGGAAAACTGAACATATTTATTGAAACTGATTATAATGAGAGATTGTTTAATTGGGCTATGACGTTGTGTCTGTCGTCGCGTAGAGTTCGTCGAGTTGTTCCTGGAATGCCTTTTGCATCTCCGTTCGTTTCGACTTGAGCGTTGGCGTCAACAGGCCGTTCTGTTCGCTAAACGGCTCGGGGTTGAGACTTATTGCTTGTACCTGTTTCGGGAAAGAATTAGAATTTATTGGAATAACCATCTAAAGAAACACAAGCATGTCTTATCAAGGCTATATATATATCACGTCTGATACCACCACCACCACCAGCACCACCAGCACCACCAATACTACCACCACCACCATCAACACCATCAACATCATTACAGATAACGCATGCCGCACCATGAACGACTGCCGTCACCACTATCGCTATCACCATCGCTATTGCTAACAGAACAAGCAACATTACAACTACTATCACCACAATCGACATCATCACCTTCATCACCAATACCCCCATCACAACCAGCGCCACACCACTACTACTACCATCACCATCACCACCACCACTACTACCACCACCACCATCGCCATCATCAGTAACACCACCACCAACGCCATCACCACCACCACCATCACCACCTCCATCATCATCACCACCAGCACCATCACTACCACCATCATCATCACCACCACCACCATCGCCACCACCACCTCACAAACAAAATCACTAAAGCACCAACAGCACCACGAAGACCACCATTCTGATAGCACCAAATCACCACCAAACCAGGAACATCTCAACTACCAAATAATTTTCATCGTGTTTGAGATTGCCCATCCTAATGCCCTTAATAGAAATATATTTTCTCCGAGAGAAATCTGACGTGTGAAACAATGAATTTCTGGTTTGTGTTAATACAAGGTATATGTTGCCAGTTTCTAAATCAACATTTTTCCAGCATTGACCTCGTTTTGCAGAGATTTAATTCAAAGAGAAACAAAGAGAGTAGGTTTGTACCTGCTCAAAGCCCTGAAGTCCTTCTGCCTTCCCGTGTTGCTGAAGTACTTTCAAGACTTCTTCTGTCACTTTCTACAAAATGAGAATAGGAAAACATTTTCGATACTTTCATTATGAACGAAAATGAAACTAAAGATACCTGAAAAATGATCTGACGTTTAGAAAGTGCACATAAGTATTTAATATGCTCGTTCGAGCATTGTATTGCATTCTACTCAGTGAATTTCTTTTTTGCTAATAATAGCAGACAATATCATTCTGCATATAACCGACAAAAACAAATGTTTGTCAATCGTTTTCCTATTGTTTTTAGAGAGTATTGTAACATACCAAATACTGATTCGGGACATAGTTTGCAGAGATACAAATGAAGATAACAAGACGCCAAATTCAAATTTGTTTGATTTCTTGAGCAATGATTATTAGGAGTACAGCTGACCTTTTATGGAGCTTTCATATCTATCATACATTTTAGTTTAGTGTCTTTGGCTTTCAAACAAACTAATGACCTCTTTCTGTTATTAGATTGACAAAAATGAAGAAAAAAGATTAGTAATTTTTAAAGGTAAAATGGTCATTATTGTCATCATTATCATTACTATTATTATAATTATTATTTTCACAACTGTTTCTATTAATATTATTAGCATTATTATTATTATTATTATTATCGTCATTATTATTATTATTATTATTAATATTATCATCATTATCATTATTATTGTTATCATTATCAACATCATTAAGGCCTACCTTGTTTTGACACAGTTCTTCAAACGATCCAGTAACTCCGACAGATTTAGCTACTTTCTCTATCTCTTGTGGATCGGGAACCACTATTCCTACGATAAAATCCTGTCCAGAAAAAAAAAAGTAAACTTACATGATTTTAAATAATCATGAGAGAGGGAAAGAGAGAGAGAAAGAGAAAGAGAGAGAGAGAGAAGGAGAGAGAGAAGGAGAGAGAGAGAGGGGGGGGGGTGGGTGAAGAAGAGAGGGTGGGAAGGGGGATGACGGATAGAGTGGGGAGGGGGGGGGGGGTAAAATTAAAATATAATCTATAAGCTAAAACAAACAAGAAAACAAACAAAGTCACAAACTAAATGAATATAATAAGGCTTTATCAAGATGATACTCGAGATAGTAATCATCGTTGAACTATTCAGATTCTGCTAATGTAAATATCGAATATCTCTATGAGGGCTCGCATGCCTCTGGGCAACAGTAAAGCTTTGCCATTTCTTTCCTCTTCTCCTTGCTTCTCATTTGCTACTCTTTCTCTATTAAAAAGATGATTTTATTGAAATGTACTATGTTGACTTTGTATATATACTGTGAATTTCTGATTTTTATGGCCAAATAAATAATAATAATATTATATATTAAAAAACAAAACATTTCATAGATTTGTAAATAATTCGTATTGATACTTTTGGTTGGTGACCAATGCTATCATCATATTATTCTATGAAATTATATGCGTAAACGAATGACGGGCCTGTTTTTTTAGATAAATAAAATAATACTCACTCTCATACTGTCACCATAGACGTAGATTTGCATGAGGAGCGGCAGCCTGGTGTATAGATTTTCGATCTTTTCTGGCGCCACGTAGAGACCCTGTGCCAATTTCAGGATCTGCTTCTTACGATCAATGACCGAGAGCGTGCCGTTCTAAAGCGTGCGATAGGTAGCAAAGAAAAGAAGCATTATTTAGGATAATAAAAACTTATGACTGTAACTCATCATTATTGGTAAATCTACCGACTAAAGATGCTTTAATTATGTACCGTTTTCTCTTAACAGTTATGTGGGAAACATAATTATATTATGAATTTATGATTAATTGGATTTTTTCCTGGGATTTGAGAACAATATTTATTTTTGAAGTATCAGCGTTCACGAGAACTGTAATCAAGAATGTCTTTTCGATATATATGATGCAGTAATCAAGTTAACTAAAATGACCAGAACCAAGTACTAGACTTTAATTGTTTAAATAAGTAAAAGTTCTATTACATTATAAAACAAAATAAAGAACAAAACACATACAAAATGATTGAATTCTCTATTCCAAACCACATATATGAAGAATTATGTTGCTCGAAAGAGTTTTTCAGATGCAGTATACTAGTATGACGATTTTAGATTGATAAAATCATCAGATAGAACGCGGTAAGACACTGCAAAAATAATCTTGTCTTTGTGTGACGCGTATTAAACTTTACGTCATTATAACAAAAACCGCCGCGGTTTAGCCGCCAATATCTTAACGAGCCTTTGGTAAATTTAAAACTATCTGGATATTCTGAATAAAACTTTCAATTTTAGCGGCTTACTTTATTCCATCGGCCTATATCACCCGTATGCAGCCATCCATCCTCGTCTAGTGCTTCTTTTGTTTTCTCAGGATCCTTGTAATACCCTGTGAATACATTCTTTCCACGGACACATATCTAAGATAAAGAGTGAGATGGGACAAGAAATATTCAATATTTCAACCTGTCATTTGAAATTGAAACTTACAAAGAGGCATTGATGGCGATAAAGACGAAAAATAAAAGCAAACATGTTCGCCATCTCCACTCCGTGAGGAGTATTCTAACAACTAAGAGTCTTTTATTAAACGTCATAACATCTGGAACAAGTAAAGTTGTTTCAAAGCCCCACTGCACTATTTATAGCTACTTGCGCCCTCTATATAGCAAACAATGCCTAATTGGTGACCATTGGTCCCACATGATCCTCTTTTTCTTATGTTAATTGAGAGCTTATTTGATGAGATAACCACAGGGAGGTCTAATCCCTCCTGGCCAAACTAGTGCGATGGGGCTTTAAAATAAGATATAGGACTGATCAATAATAAAACAGTTCTAACAGCGCACAAGTCTAAACTGTTACCCCTATTGAAAAGTGAAGAAAAAAAAACCGTAATAAGTAAGGAAACCTGCAAGAAAATGTCAATGAGTTTATCGACTAATTAGGAAGAAATCTTTTTTTATTTATGGCAAATTGTATGAGACATTATTTTGATAGCTTTTGGGCAGCATACTGAATGACACAACCCACACCTTGCAACAAAATAAATAAATTAAGTGATTGAACGAAAAATCTTTCACCTCGCCCTGATCGTCTTTGGCGTGGTAGTCGAGATCGGGGACGTCGATCAGTTTGACCTCCATGTCACCTCCCGGCACACCCACGTGACCTGACGTCATGTCGATGTCGACTGAGTGACTGATGACGCTGGTGGTTTCTGTTTGTCCATAACCCTCGAAAAACTGTGAAAAATAAAAGGGAGAGAAATGTGTCGGTACAACATGCCACGGAGGATGCCTCTTGCACATGAGGCGTCTTCTTGCCTGACGGAGAACTGCGTCACCGATTGTTTCGTGACGTAGGACTGCGTCACCGATTGTCTCGTGACGTAGGACTGCGTCACCGATTGTCTCGGTCTTTGACGCACCGTGTGGGGATGAAAGCGTCCAATTAGGAACATTGCAAAATAGGCAGTGCGCCTATACAGGCGGATAAGGTAATCGTATTCACAGTTAATTAGCCCAGGTAATAGCGCACTTGAAATAACGCATCGTCTACAACTGGCAATGGATTTGGATAAAAACCTGTCTAAAGCGAAATTAGTAGCAGGTACAGAAAAAAGAAGAAGATTGTAACATCAAGTTTGAAAGACGCTTTTGCCAAAAGGAAGAATACAACGTGTTATAGGAGGGCAAAATCCCCTTCACTTTAATACCACAAAATCTATAATGATATTCGCGTTGTTTGTAACGTTATAATTCAAACTTGTCTCCCCTCTTTCTCTATTCTTCTTTGCCTTTACCACTGTCTTTCTCCCCTCTATATCGAATTAGGTTATTTCAAATGTTTAATAGTTTGTACGAAATATTTTTTCAAAATTCAAACGTACCGGACATCCCACTGTGATTCGATAGAACGTAGCAACTTCCGCCGAGATGGGAGCTGCACCAGAAAACAAAAAGCGTATCCTTCCGCCAAAGATATCCTTGAAAAGAAAAATTAAAATTAAATGAATAGTTAATAGATTCATGTAAGACTGAATATCTTAATGATCTTCATAAACTTTGCAAATTTATCTCATATTGACGAGCGGTTTATTATTTATGTTCGATTTAGTAGCTCTGTATGTACATAAATAATCATTTGATTCTTTAACTTAACTTAACCCTAACTTAAAACCCATTAGTAACCCTAACCATAACCCTACATCTGACAAGGTAAAGCCCGGAGCATTGTGTTAATTGTATAACCACGTAAAATAAATATCATTACAAAATTATGGCTACAATTTCAAGAACATACTGCCATTTAGATGAATTAGACCCATTCACTTTTTATTTCAATGTTAAAATATTTTTTGTTACTGTATTTTGTATCTGAAAGCAATGCTTACTTGCACATAGTCAAAATCACTGTAATACACCTTTCACTCTTGAAAATATCATTTGAATTCTTACCTGGATCTTCTTAAATACTACTTTGTCCCAGATTGTGTCATTTGACACGATACCTCTGAGAAAAGAAGAAAAAGTAGTTTTAGTATAAGTAGTAGAAGAAGAAGATGATTGAAGAAGGAAAATCGAAGAAAGAGAGGAAGAGGAAGAAGAAGAAAGAGAGGAAGAGGAAGAAGAAGAAATTGTATAATAAATCTAATCAAGTTATTTGTGAAAAAGAACATACAAACCAATCACAAATTAGCAGACATTTTGGATCTCACGGGCATGTAAGGAATTGTCTTTTGAATTCATTTTTTTGGTTAAAATTGATTGTTTTTACTTAAATTAAAATTTGATAAAATACGCATATTGGTGTGATCACATAGACTAAAAAATACAGCTCATATCTAGTATCTTTCTGATATTTTAAAAATCTTTGGTAAGAATAACACTATTTCACACCCTCATGTTATATACAATCATATTGATTGCAGTTGCTTCAACAAATTGGGAAAACACAGCGGTTGAAATATAATTACGAAAAGAAAAATGGCATCACATCTTTTTTTTGCAAATTAAAATGACCTTAACTGCATTATGAAAAAGAAAAAGCATTACTTTTGAAGGTTTTTCAGCTTCTGTTGATAAGCCAAATTGAAGATGAAACGTTTCACTGGACTGCTATTGGCTACTCCTAACGTCACCTGGACAAGGTAATGGAGAAAAAAATTGCAAAATAGGAAAAACGCAAATGTATAGGCCTAATATTAATTGAATTTGATAAAATTATCCATGAAATAGGACAATTAAAAATAATTATACGACTGAACTAAGCGTATAAGGGAGACGGAGGGAGGAAAAAGCAACAACGACAACAATAAACGTTAGACACAACGAAGAGATGTTACGAGTAATGAAATTTATATCTCAACTCATAGGGGAAAATCTGGAAAATATGTAAACTGCTTATTTGAATTTGTGAGGTTTTGAATATCAAGGTAAAGATACAGCTCATCTTGTCTTTAGTTTTTGTTATTACTTGGAATGCCACAATAGAAAGCCGTGTAATTTAGATATCTTCTAGGTTGTCGAGAATATTAGAGACGAAATGAAATTCTGACAGTTTTGAAAATGCAACTGAAAAAATTGTAAGTCATATTAACTGGAATTTTCAATGGAGGCGACTTCGCTGGTCCTTATTGCGTTCGACGTGTTACATACCTGGTGATGTATTCGATTGAAGATCCTGGGAACACCGAAAAAGACGGTAGGTTTTAATGTCTGAAGGTCGTCAAGCAGAAGTAAGGGATCGCCTTGGAAAAAGCCAGCCTGAAAACCTTGTATCATTCCGTGGTACTATAGGAAATAAAACAGCGTCAATGTTAGGAAAAACTACAGAATGCCCAACCACAACAGTTGACCAGACGACCGTGTTTTTTCTTATTCATTTTCGGCATTTTAAAAGAAAATTCCTTGTAAAAACATTTCAAAGACTGATACAAACAAAAACTACATATCGAAAATAATATCGCTAGTGACATTCGTTTGTCTCGCAATGTATGGTCAGCGATACAAAAGAATGTCACTAGCGATATTATTTTCGATACTATATCCGCAATGAGTAATATATTTAGCAAAAATTACATAGTTGCATTGTTCAACATTTTATAAAAGAATCCAATAAATTCACCAATATCGACAAACTAATAAACAAAATAAATAAATATTCTTCTTGCGCATAGATTGTCAACTTCATAATGATATTCATTTCTTTTGAAAACATGGAAGTTATAAAAATCCCTTTAAGCATCTAGTTGAACATATATATTTAATACTGAATGATACCGGTACCCCCATGATGGTTGGTGCCCCCAATCATGGTCGGTACCCCCTCGGTGTTTGGGAGCACGCTACGCCATTGATTATAACCACGGATATCTTGATGATTTAGTATCACTTACCATGTTACCCCTTTCGAAAACGTGGGCTAGAGGTAGATAGCTTATATGGATATCATCTGGACTACCAAAGGAAGGAACCTGAAAGAAAAACGAGACTCAATTATAAAAGGGACCAAGGAGTCCTGGGCCCATAATCCAATATTCAAAAAACTTTACCAAGCTAGTTGTCAACTAATTACATATATTAGATAGCTTAGACAGATACCGAGATGTGATTGGTCCAGAGCTCGTCACGTGATATCAATTGCGAGGATCCAAATTGTTATATTTTCCTGGCCGGTCACTTTTCAGTGTTATATTATACCGGCTGGTGAAATGAATATATTTTTAATCAATGCATGTCGCCCTCGTGAGGACTGTATGTCACTAACTACATACATTACACCATTATCGAGGGCCATTTTATTTTTTCAATATTTTTTTTTCATGAATTTTTTTTTCCCTAGAAATTTTTTTTTCCCCAAAAAATGCTTTTTTGGGTAAATTTTTTTTTTAATAATTTTTTTTGTTTCCCGAAAAATGCTTTTTTGGGTAAGATTTTTTTTTTTTTTTTTTTTTTTTTTTTTTTTTTTTACCCCAATTTTTTTTTTTTTTTTTAAGGTAATCTCGACAAATTATTTTTCCGTAATTTTGATTGTCCCCGAAAAAAAAATAAAAAAATTTCGGGCCAAAAAAAATATGGACCCCCCCCCCCACAAAAAAAAAAAAACAAGGCTATCTAATATAACAGTTATTGACTGGCAGGGGGTATATAACATTCTTTGGACCTGAAGGGAGTTATATTTTCCCTCGTGACCATATTTTCCCTCAGCGCTGCGCGCTTCGGGAAAATATAACCACTTGAGAAATATAACTCCCTTCAGCGGTCCAAACAATGTTATATTACACCCCCTGCCAGTCAATAACTGTATAATAGGCTACATATTTGGTTGGCATTTATCCTAATCAATCGTAAGTTTGCAGTTCCCTATCTCTGATGGAACATTATTACGATATATATCAATCGTAAGTAAGTTGCGATTAATATCAACTCTTAATATGACGGGACCCAGGTCTGTAAAGAGTTGCGACTGAAATAATTTAGTTGATAACTGTATATCAACCACACAGGGCGCTCCAATATCACCCATCTTTAGAAAGGCTACTGATTTTCATGCTCACACTATCCAAGAAATTCTCTCCCACTACCCCCCTAAACACCTGGGCAGTGAAACTTTTTGCAAAAGGAGACTGGTCCCTTGGCGGGGCTTGAACCCATGACCTTCACATCTCCCGATTTGAATGTTTAAACTTTGACAGTTGTACACCACACCTCTCATGATTACTTACGTCAAAGGTAGAGTGGACGTATGCGTGGTTCACAATATGATGACTTTGTGTGAGTGGGACCCCTTTAGGTGTTCCTAAAAGAATAACAGATAAAACAGTTAAAAACCAAATAATTCATTAGCTCGAGCCATTTTTTCAGGGTTTTAGTGTTGATTTTAAGGGGCAGTTGTCCGAGGTAGTTGTTCAGTTAAAAAGATTTTCTTCCTATTTTTTTTTCTTCTGCGAATTTCACTTTCTTAGTGGTGATATGAAATGAGTTAATATAGAGAATATTAAACAAAGAATCTATAACCTTGTGATAGGAATTGTAAAGAAGGGAAACCACTTTCTAACGATGCCCCTCTCTCTTCCATTTTCTTACCAGTCGTTCCGCTTGTGTACACAATCGTATTCAGATCTGTCGGCTTCGGTACCTGAACAGAGAAATAAATATTTATACCAAATTACACCAGGGTGGGGAGTGGCAAATGTGGATATAAACTTGTCAAAGGACATCGCTGCCGGGTGGGGTGCCGGACAGGGATTCGAACCTTCAACCTTTCGGTTGTCAATCAAGTGAACGAACCATTATATAGGAATATTGTGGAATGACCTTTTTACAATTTATTTGATCGAGTCCCCTCTTTATCCGTGTTCTTTCAATTTACTATCATGAGATTATGGTCTATTACATTCATTTTCCATTTTGATCTCATTATTTTCTTTTCAGTCGCTCTTATTTCCTTTATTTTTGCTTTATGTCTCATAGACTTGCATAATTTTATTTCTAGTAGATCAACTTTAAAATATTTGATTTACAAACAATGAAACACACAATGAATCTCTTGAAATTTCCCCTCCTCCTTTACCAATCCATTTTCCTCCTTGCAAACTTCTCTAATAATGATACTCTTCTTTATTCTCGATAGACATCAGCGCATTCTATTTATAACTTCTTTCATCTTTCTTAATCGAAATAGTATACAATTGAGTTTTAGAATCTTCTTCCCTGTCCCCGTCTTATAAAGAGAAGTCCTCCAATCAATCGCAAGTTTGCAGTCTCCTATCTCTGATGTACATAGTCATGTACATAGTTGCGAGTATAATCGCAAATGTTAACGGGTCCCTAGTTTCAGGTATGTGTTGATTCTTTCATAACGACCAACAACAACAAACTAACAAAAAAGAGAAGAAAAAAAGAGAAAAAAAGAGAAAAAAAGAAGGGAAATTAAACATTCCTACTTCAGAAACGTACCACTAGATCACAAGGATTAGATGTTCCTACTTCGATGACGTCATCATAGGACAAAAGCCTAAGTCCCACCGCATCGAATCTGCGTTTGGTTTCTTCCGCGCCTTCACGAGGTAGATCTATGACCACTATGGTCTTTAAATGAGGTATATCAGCTGCATCTTCCAACAGAGATTCCGCTTTGGTCAGGACGTCACAAACCAGTACCGACATATTGGCTGGTTGAAAAACAGAATAATGATTAGAAAACTTGGGAATAAATTTGGGACACTTTGCTCGTCACAAAATCGATTGAAATTTTCAAATGCCTTTCGCCAATTCGGGGATAAGTGTGAGACAGCGATATATCAAGTGGATAGTTGTCTCAGATTGTTTATCATCATCAATTGAATATATTTCATTATAGTCCTACGTTTTTTTATGTACTTGGTTTTAATTTTTCAAGGATGTAAGTTAACTTTCGCAAACTTAATTGTAAAATTACCGCAGCTTCTTATTAGGACGTGCTACTAATTCATCTGTCTTTGCGTCAAATATTAAAGTTTGTATTTCCCCTTCCTCCTCCTCTTATCCAAACAACCCGATCGCCTTATCCCTATTTCGCTCAGTCTATATAACTATGACATACTAATCATTTAGGAAATTAGGATACATGGCTAAGATGCATGGACTACATAGTTAGTCAGGTCGGCAAATTTCAACATATTAGCTGGTAAACAGATATCACAAAATTGGTTGCCACAATAGAAATAATTATATCGAGAGCAACGGTGACTCACTTTGTTTTGCTATATGTTTGAGTGCGTCCTTTCCCAGACTCGTGTATAGAGGTACAGAGACCATGGAATAACATATACACGCAAAGTCCAGGATGGTCCACTACAGGGGAAAAGGCAGATGACAATTTCATTTTAATTGTGTAATATTAAAAGCACTTTTTCGAAGGTGAAGGTTAAAAAAAGCTAAACCCGCATTTTGCATTAATGAATCTCTCACTTTCAGGTGAATTTCTTAAGGCAAAATTTAGAATCTACTAAGTTATTAATAATTACATGCATGTGCCTCAAAATAATTATATTAAACAAAAAGGAGGAACTTTTTTTAAAATTCCCTTCCGCAAATTTCGAATGCTTAGACCCCCCCCCTGTTTTTCTCTCTTGTTAGAAAATGTTCGGCTAACTCTTAGACAAATTCGATCTGACACCCCCGTATTCAAGTCAATATAGTGAAATGACCCCTATCAACTGGCGTATCCTTACCTCATGTGTACTCTGTGAGAAGATTCCAATACACGTCTCACTACTGGTTGTGTAGCCCAGATATACCAACCTGAACCAAACAGACGAGCACTTTCTTACATGCATCAATTACCTCCCTCAAATTCTCAAATTCTAATATCTATGATTTCTGAGAATCTTTTAATGTTGAAACATTTCGGCAAACGTATTTGTTCTCAACTCCATTTGAAATGGTCTATATCAGACTGTCATATTCTTCATGTGTGCGGATGTAGAATTTTGTTTTTTCCGAAAATTGGGGAGGGTATCAGTGGTATATGTAGTTACCTCAGGTCTGCTCTGGGAGAAGATACCAATAAACGTCTCACTACCAGGGGCGTGGCCCAAAGATACCAACCCTGAACCAAACAAGCGAGCTCTCTCTTCCACCTGTAAAACAAAACATTGTCAACCATATTGTTTGGTTACAGCATTAAGAGAAACGAAAACATCAATATAACAAGATTACTATAATGTTGTCGAAGTATTGGTATATTTGTATACTATCTGAAGGTCAAAAGTATTTATATATTTCAATATTATGGTACTCATTCAAATTTGTTTTCATATCCACCTGCTCCTAATATTTTTATGAAGTAAAATGACTTTTTTTAATGATTTGAATTATTGTTAAATAACGAACTGTAAACGTGATGTTTTTAATCGAATATTTGTGAATCATGCATGCAATTTAGCCCTTTGTTGCAATATGTTGATGAACAAATACCTTACCTTACCTTATAGTAATTACATGATCTTTATATTAACCCTTTTCTCTCTTTCTGCATCGTTTGTTTAATCATTTTGCTTCTTTTAAAAAAACTTTTATTTTTTCGTTTGACAAAGTTTTCACCAAGAGACAATTTTTGTTTCCCCGAGACATTCACGATTTAGTGATGAATAGTTGAGGCAAAATTTGGCGTCTGAATATGAAGGTGTGATTCTCGATAGACATGAAGTGAAGAGGCAAGTTTCTTGTCTAGCTGTTTACCTGTGAGAAGGTTATCCATTGATACGGCTGCCCAGGCCCACTCCGATGACCGAGGAATTGTCCGCCATCTAAGAAAAAAAAAGAGAGAACATAGTGAAATAGAAGGGGGGGGGGGGAGAAGAACGTGATAAGCATGGGAAACAATTTGTATCATTAGTCGATTTTACCCGATCAATTTAGATTAATATTAAATGCAGATCCATTTTTATTAATTTTGAACAATGGATTAGTATTATTGCATGCATATGGAAGTATAGATACAAAACTCGACATGAAATAATACTTGCATCACTCCCTTATACGGTTAGAAAAAATAAACAAGTGAAGGGGAAAGTGGAAGCAGTAGACTCATTGCATTTGCATGACATTTTGTCACGGGCCGTCAATTGAGGGGCAGGGGTAGGGGGAGGGGAGGGGTGCGGTTAGGGAGTAACGTTGCATGGTTACGCCATCGACGAAGAATCGAAAGCAAGCTGAAGGAAAGAATGAAAGCAAACTTACTTGAGACTCTTTTCCCTCTTTGAAAGCCCTCGTAAATTGTTGTGACGTCACTGTACTGCTGTGTGGGCGAGTGTTGCTCTTCATTTTTACGAATAACACGAATTCTTTCAGGGCCCTATAACGGATTAGATAAAAGACAACAAAAGGAAGCTATTGCAGAATCACAACAACGAAATGAAGACAATGATCTAATGATAAATAAGACTCGACAGGAGGAAAAGTAGGAAGAGGAAGAATGATAAAAGCTAAGAGAATATGAAGAAGAAAAAAGGGCAAGGAGATGAAGAGGGAGAGAAGTTGAAGAAGAAAATGAAGAATAAGAAGCAGAGGAAGAATGAAGAATAAGAAGCGGAGGAAGAATGAAGAATAAGAAGCGGAGGAAGAATGAAGAATAAGAAGCAGAGGAAGAATGAAGAAGAAGAAGCAGAGGAAGAATGAAGAATAAGAAGCAGAGGAAGAATGAAGAATAAGAAGCAGAGGAAGAATGAAGAATAAGAAGCGGAGGAAGAATGAAGAATAAGAAGCGGAGGAAGAATGAAGAATAAGAAGCAGAGGAAGAATGAAGAAGAAGAAGCAGAGGAAGAATGAAGAATAAGAAGCAGAGGAAGAATGAAGAATAAGAAGCAGAGGAAGAATGAAGAAGAAGAAGCAGAGGAAGAATGAAGAATAAGAAGCAGAGGAAGAATGAAGAATAAGAAGCAGAGGAAGAATGAAGAAGAAGAAGCAGAGGAAGAATGAAGAATGAAGAATGAAGAATAAGAAGCAGAGGAAGAATGAAGAATAAGAAGCAGAGGAAGAATGAAGAATAAGAAGCAGAGGAAGAATGAAGAATAAGAAGCAGAGGAAGAATAAAGAATAAGAAGCAGAGGAAGAATGAAGAATAAGAAGCAGAGGAAGAATGAAGAATAAGAAGCAGAGGAAGAATGAAGAAGAAGAAGCAGAGGAAGAATAAAGAATAAGAAGCAGAGGAAGAATGAAGAATAAGAAGCAGAGGAAGAATGAAGAAGAAGAAGCAGAGGAAGAATGAAGAATAAGAAGCAGAGGAAGAATGAAGAATAAGAAGCAGAGGAAGAATGAAGAATAAGAAGCAGAGGAAGAATGAAGAATAAGAAGCAGAGGAAGAATAAAGAAGAAGAAGCAGAGGAAGAATGAAGAATAAGAAACAGAGGAAGAATGAAGAATAAGAAGCAGAGGAAGAATGAAGAATAAGAAGCAGAGGAAGAATGAAGAATAAGAAGCAGAGGAAGAATGAAGAATAAGAAGTAGAGGAAGAATGAAGAATAAGAAGCAGAGGAAGAATGAAGAATAAGAAACAGAGGAAGAATGAAGAAGAAAAAGCAGAGGAAGAATGAAGAATAAGAAGCAGAGGAAGAATGAAGAAGAAGAAGCAGAGGAAGAATGAAGAATAAGAAGCAGAAGAAGAATAAAGAATAAGAAGCAGAGGAAGAATGAAGAATAAGAAGCAGAGGAAGAATGAAGAATAAGAAGCAGAGGAAGAATGAAGAATAAGAAGCAGAGGAAGAATGAAGAATAAGAAGCAGAGGAAGAATGAAGAATAAGAAGCAGAGGAAGAATGAAGAAGAAGAAGAAGCAGAGGAAGAATAAAGAAGAAGAAGCAGAGGAAGAATGAAGAATAAGAAGCAGAGGAAGAATGAAGAATAAGAAGCAGAGGAAGAATAAAAGAAAAAAGTTAAACGAAGAAAAAGAAGAAGAAATAAAAAAGAAAAAAAGAATAAGAACCAGAGCAACAAGAACGAGAACGAGGAGGAGAAGAGGGAGGAGGAGGAGAAAGAAGAGGAGGAGATGGAGAAGCAGAAGAAGAAGAAGCAGCAGAAGAAGAAGAAGAATAAAGAGAAGAAGAACAAGTAGAACAAGAAGAAGAAATAAATATAGAAAGAGAACAACAATGAAAAACAACATAAAGAGGAAGCAGTAGGAGAAGAAGAAATGTACAAAACGAACCCACCCCCCCCCAAAAAAAAAGAAGATGGATGAGGAGGAGGAAAGACAGCAAGGAGTAGAGGCTGACTAAGAAGAATGAGTAAGTTTGAAGAAAAGGGGGAAGAAGAACGAGAAGGTGAGAAAAACAGAAAATGGGCGAAGAAAAGAAAAAGAAGTGTGCAGAGGAAATAAGTAGAGTGGAAGAAGACGAACCTCCAGAAGATGCAGATGAAGAGAAAATATACAAATAGACGAAAAAGTAGAAGACGGTGGAGAATATCAAAGGAAGAAGAAAAAGGAGGGGAAAAGAAGAAGAAAATGAGGAGGCAGAGGAGGGAGGAGTTTACCTCTTTCATGATAGTTTGGTCGTCGACTGGAAAGATAGTCTTGAAATATGCTGACCCGTGTCTGACTGATTGCGATGACGTAACAGCATAGTTATTACCCAAGATTCCCCTTGCCGAAGCGATCCGAGACAGGGGTTTCCCCTTCGCGAGTACACGAACGCAGAACTCGGCCATCTTCGTAATTCTATATACAGTGCGTCCCAGAAAAAACGAAACCGAGAATTATTGATGTTTTATCATAACTTAACCACAATTATAATTAATACATGACACATATTTGTAAAGCTTAGATCCTCCTCTTTCATTTGGTGCAACTCATATAATGCATATTTCACGCATGAGTGATTAAAATTAATTTGAAGAGAGGAAAACAAAAAGTCATTTGGCGGACGATATCTGAATTTCAAAGAGAAAATCACATTTCTAGAAAGTTGAGTTTCTGCCCTTTCATATGACACCTCAGTCAGTCAGGAAAAATGAGCTAGGAATAACAAAGTTCTGTTTGCTTAAAGTCGTGCTTGTATTTCCATAATTGTATTAAAAAAATTCGTTTTCACTGGCTGCCTGCCGTATCAACAAACGAAATTAACAAAAGACTTAACTCCGTTTCGTTGACAATTAGGCGTAGACGAAAGACTTCATGCATGGCTGATTGTCAACGAAACGGAGTTACGTCTTTTGTCAATTCTGCTTTTTGCCACGGCAGGCACCCAGTGAAAACGAATTCGTTTGTTAAAATTATGAAAATGTAAGGGCTACTGTAAACAAACAGAACTTTGTCATTCCTTGCTCATTTTTCCTGATTGAGGTGTCATATGAAAAGGCAGAAACCTTATTTGGAAACATTATTTTTCCTCTATCAATAATAAATTTCCGTGATTATCTCATGACATAGTTCTACTCTGCCGACTGTACACATATTACCTTTGAACTTTGGAACAAACTACCTTTACATGTCAAAAACTGTCAGACTGTCAACCAATTCAAAACTTGTCTAGACTTAAGACACATTTATTCAAAATTGCTTTTGATGATAAACTTACTCTGTTCACATTGATGTATGTTTCATATGTATTGTAATTTGTATAGGTGTGTTTGCAATCTTTTGTTTTGTTTGATATGTAATTGTTTATCATTGTATTTTGTTTGTTATAGCGCTTAGAGACTTCGGTGTTAAGCGCTTTGTAAGAACTGTTTTTATTATCATTATCATTGTTATTATTGATGAACGTTATTTGAAAATGGTTGGAATATCCCCACCCCATCCACGTGAGGGAAGAAGAGACCTAAATTTTCATTTTTGCTTTCCCAATTGACCAATTTACTATCGTATTTCAATCATGCATGCTTCCCTTTATACGTCATTTCATTGTTCACCTGCTATTGGCATCTCTAAGATGAAATCCGATTTGCATACATTAGTTTTTGTTCAAAACGTAGGCCTATGCACACAATTGACCGTTTTGTAATGTAATCAAATCTAATGCAAACTACTTTGTTAGGTGCCTTGTTACAAATTATATCATTCTCCTGGTACGAATAATTAAATTTCAATATAGTTGTTACTGTCATGTAGGTAGGGCAAGCAATATGGCACTAAACAAAGATCTGTGCATTAAACTTGCTTGCATTAGGCCAAATTGCAAAAAATGAAGTGGTTCTCGTTCCCGCCCGCCTCCTTTTTGGCCGCCGCTATTCACTTTTTTGAAAAAAGCCCCCCCCCCCCCGAAAAAAAGCAAAGGAAAAAAAAAACGAGCTTTTGATATACATTTTGTTTAAATAGCGTCTAAGTAAATACAAATCATTTGGTTTGTCATACATTGCACCAGTTTACTCACATAGCACGATATATGTGAATAAATAGGCTTGGCCAGCTATATTTAGCATGGCAGCCATCTTGGGAAAAATACCCCCCCCCCAAAGCAAAATAGTAAATAGTAATGCCCTTCCTCCTCCTTTTTTTAAAAAGTCCGGACGAGAAACACGTTATTTTTGTTATTTGGCCTTACGGAAATGGCATACTAGTCAACAGGTGTACTGCACTATGCACTGTCATTACTAGTACCTATAATATTATAGATTGTACTTTTAACATGCATATAAACACGCATATCCAGACATCGACCTTTTACTTACATATTATATTTAAGCGACCTTTCAACTACATTCTGAAAACGTGAAATCAAACTGCAGTCAGTTTAATTCGCATCGTGTGAGCTACAGTGGCGGAGATATAATCCATGCAGATCTATTGCATATTTGTTTGCAAATACCCAGTGATTGTATACTCTTTTATTTTTTTCAATGGTTTTGTTAGACAGAATGCAGATTAAGTCGTCAGACATTCGTTATTTCGTCCCACATAAAAACATATCTCGTATGCAATCTAGCTGTACAATGTTTTATATATTGAACCTAATTTAACCTTAATATTATTCAAACACTATAGGCAAATATGACTAGATTAAAAAGGGTGAATTCAAATACGTACGTACGTCAGGATATTCAACATGCCTGAGAATAAGATTACAAGATAAAAAAGCTTACAATGAAATATTAAGCATAAGTAGTATATGTATATTATAGATGGCACCCAGTCTTGATCTGCGATTTCATAGAAATTAAATTGTAGATGTGTATACAGATCATGTTATATAGTGATTAATTCATAAAACAGAGGATATATTTAATTGTTTAATATCCACAAGTATATCTTAGGGTACCAATATGCTTTTTTGTTTGGTTATCTTTCCGTGCTTTCTTATACGATTTATCTGATCGTATTGACCATCAAGAATATATTGCAAGCACTTTGGTAGCTAGAGCTTTACTGCATATACTCGCCTGCATGCATCGATATACTACCATTATAGAACACAATAATGATTTGTATAATATATCCACTGTATTTATTTGTTTGGGAACTCGGACAACATTCATTGACTTCTTATGAGAACCTAAAAAAAAACAAAAAATAAACACACCAAACAATCAGTCAATAAATCAAACAAACAAACTATTACTCTAATTGTATATGAGTGTGATTATCTCTCTTTTAAAGTTATTTGAAATTGTATACATGTACCAGTGAAAACCGAATTTCCGAAAGGAAAACAAAGACTTATGTCTAGTTCATTTCAACAAACAAACCTATGATGAGAAAGCATACTAATGCATGTTTGTTGACCGTGCATCGATAAAAGCATGCATGCTTATCGAAGAGCCGGTTAGCTATACAGTGCGTCCCAGAAAAAAACGAAACCGAGAATTATCGATGTTTAATCATAACTTAATCACAATTATAATTATTAAATGACACATATTTGAAAAGCTTAGACCCTTCCCTTTCATTTGATCATTTTGATGCAACTCATAATATAATGCATATTTCACGCATGAGTGATTATAATCAATTTGAAGAGAGGAAACCAAAAATTCATTTGGCGGACGGTATCTGAATTTCAAAGAGAAAATCACATTTCTAAAAAGTTGAGTTTCTGCCCTTTCATATGACACCTCAAACAGAACTTTGTCATTCCTTGCTCATTTTTCCTGATTGAGGTGTCATATGAAAGTTGCAACAAATGAAAGAAGAGGATCTAAGCTTACCAAATATATGTCATTAATCAATTACTATTATTAAGTTATGATAAAACATCGATAATTCTCGGTTTCGTTTTTTCTGGGACGCACTGTATATTCTGTGAATGATATCATTCAGCCATGAGTCCATGTCAAATGAAAACAAAACTAATATGAAACAGATGATATAAATAGCACATATTCAAACCTCTGTGACACAGCGCTGAACAAATTCTTCACACATATTTTAATCCATTCATTCTTTGATTTTCTAACAAAGAGAATCTACACGCCCAACATACCGTAATTATTATTATAATAATAAAAGCATCAGCGTGCATTGTAAATTCCCAGGCCGTTGTTCAGGTGCCTGACATTGTACCATTGATAGTCAACGAGTCAATAGACAGTTTTCGCGATGTAATCAAATTTAATGCACAAATATTTGTTGAGTGCCTTGTTACAAATTAATTCATTCACTTGTTAAGAATGGATGTGTCTCAATAGTCAGAATTCAAATAGCATACATTAGATGTTGTTACTTATTAGATAGGACAAACATTATGTTTTTTCTTACCCAACAACACGTCAAGAATGCAATTCGCATTCTGACTATTGAAATACAATTATTCGTAACAGATTAATTAAATAATTTGTAACGAGGCACTTGAAGGGAGCGGGGTTTCTGTCTGACCAAAGTGCCCTATCACCTTGGTCTGGCCTATGCAACGTAAGACAATATGTGTGGAAGGGGAGTATATATATATATATATATATATATATGGAGGAGGGGATAGAGGGGTGTATTCTCTCACTGCAGGTGCGCACAAAATCGCGCACCATTCCTCCTCTCAAATGATGTACTCTCTTTTGAGAGCTCTTTCGGATCATACCTTATTTTGGTTTACTCACTCTATATGCTACTCCAATGCCAATCTTTTTTTATAGTCTGATAGAATTTTAACGTTGGTTAATTTCTGTTTAATTTTGCCCAACACAGAACATGGAAATAACAATAAACACGCACACATTGTCGGAGAGATCATTAGCATAAATTATGTGGCATATTAAGGTGTAAATAAAACAGTTACTGCATGGAAACATTGGTATGGTGACTTACGAGAACAGGTTCTTCAGTTGCAAGACCAGGACCAAGCTCTTCTTCGTCTTCCAGGAAAAGTATATAGTCCACCGTCGATCTGATGTAACACGTACTATTAGGCAGGTCTGGTGTTGTGAATGTCGTGGTGAATGTATAGCGCAATAAACTAAAGAGATCAAGCTTGACCAATCCAGGGAACAACTATACGTTCCAGGTCTTTTCTATTCCACCGCAGACAGCTTGGTTGAAAGGGTTGAAACACTTAGGCCAAAGAATAGTGATACGCCTCTCAAAAGCTTTGGGCTGGCTATAGCATACCAACGAATAATATCTACACTTGAATGGAAGTCCTATATACCGGGTAGGTTAGAATTAACTGAATAACCTCGCAGAATAAACATCGTTTCCCGTCAAGTTCTCGTTTGTACTTTGCTTGACTGTTTTCAGTGACAGGAGCTGCCGTGTTTAGAGGTTAAAGGTCATGTTTGTAGAATACTGGTTGTGTGCCACGCAGATTCGGTTGGTAAATATATGACGTTGAAAGATTTTTCAAGTAGTGGGAAGTGGGATACTCGCTTATCATGATATTGATAAGCCTAGCTCTTCCTAACTTGGTTCGTTTTATTAATGCACGTAGAAGCAACTTTAGGTTCAAGTACGACAGTGAATGTACTCACGGCAGACATTAATTGTGCATGTATAAGGAGTATTATATTCCTAATTAATACATACCCATGCTGTTTAGTTAACTATATTTTTTATTCACCCGTCTCTCCTTCTTCCCCCTTCACTGACCATTAAATTTTCTTTCCTTGGCCAAGTTTTCTGTCTTCCAGAGACATGCTCCCTGGTCTTCCTTTCTTTCATTTCCTAAGTTTTGTTTTGGTGCTTTCCTCTCCTTGATCATGTTGATACCCCACTTCTTTTTATTTCCCATGCACTCTCTTTCTTTCTCCACCCCCCTCTCAATCACCTCTCCACTCTTGTGTTAATCTCTCTCAATCTCATCTATCTCATTTCCCCCTCTCTCCATTTATTTCTCCACCTCTCGCTCTCAATCATATATCTCTCTGTTATCTCTTTCCACTCGAGTGGCTTTTCTCTCTCACTCTCTCATCTATTTCTTTCTTTCCCTCTCTCTCCATCTCCTCCTCTATCTCTCCCTCTCAATCACTATACCTCTTTTTTTTTTTATCTCCCTCCACTGTCATGTCTCTAGTTGTCTCTAATTCTCACCTACTTCTTACTCCCCGTCTCTCCACCTATTTCTCTATCCCTCCCTCTCAATCTATATTTATCTCCCCCCCCTCTCTCTCTCTCGCTCCTCTATCATGTCTCTAGTTGTCTCTCATTCTCATCTATTTTTTTTACCCCCTCTCAACCCCCCTCTTTCTCTATCTCTCGCTCTCAATCACTATATCTCTCTTCATCTCTCTCCACTCTCATGTCTCTAGTTGTCTCTAATTCTCACCTACTTCTTACTTCCCCCCTCTCCATCTCTTTCTCTTTCCCTCTCTATCAATCACTGTATCTCTCTTTATCTCTCTCCACTCTAATATCTCTATATACTTGTCTCTCTCGCTCTCTCATCTATTTCTTTCTTTCCCCCTCTCTCTCTCTCCATCTCTTTCTCTATCCCTCCCTCTCAATCACTATATATCTTTCTTCACTCTCATGTCTCTAGTTGTCTCCCTCTCTCATCTATTTCTCTCTTCCCTATCCCTCCCTCTCAATCGCTATATATCTTTCTTCACTCTCATGTCTCTAGTTGTCTCCTTCTCTCATCTATTTCTCTCTTCCCTCTCCACCCCCTCTCTCCATCTCTTTCTCTATCCCTCCCTCTTAATCACTATATATCTTTCTTCACTCTCATGTCTCTAGTTGTCTCCCTCTCTCATCTATTTCTCTTTCCCTCTCCCTCCCTCTCAATCACTATATATCTTTCTTCACTCTCATGTCTCTACTTGTTTCCCTCTCTCATCTATTTCTCTCTTCTCTCTCCCTCCCTCTCAATCACTATATATCTTTCTTCACTCTCATGTCTCTAGTTGTCTCTCATTCTCATCTATTTCTTTACCCCCCTCTCCATCCCTTTCTTTCTCTATCCCTCCCTCTCAATCACGTTATATCTCTTGATCTTTCTCCACTTCGATATCTCTCTTTATCTCTCTCTTCGCTCATGTCTCTAGTTGTCTCTCCACCCTCCTTCTCGATCTCTTTCTCTATCCCTCCCTCCCAATCATTAATTCATAAAATTACCAATGCTATGGCCAATAAGGAACATGTAACGGACTTATCTAAGGCCTTTGATACGCTTGACCACCAAATTTTACTGAAGAAACTTTAGGCCCCCCCCCCCTCAAAAAAAAAAAAAAAAAAATCATTTGGTTGTCCTCTACCGCCCGCTCGTCATTTTCGGGCCGCTCGTATTTTTTGTTTTCATTATTATTTTGTTTTCATTTTTGTTTTCTTCATTTTTCATTTTTTGGGGGAGCAATCTTAAATGCCAAACATACCATTTTATGCATTTGCAAGGATCAAAATGCGTCTCGTTGCCAGTTTGGTCTTTTCATTACGCAATTCTGTATTTATAAAACTTGCCATTTTTTTATGTCAAAATGCCGTTCATTCAAATCAGGTTCTGAGCATTAAACTCATTTTAGTAGGGGTGCGATGCCCCCATCTGTCAGGATATTGTCGGTAAAATTGCGCTGCTGTCGGGAAAAATGAGAAAAAGTGGAGGGGGAAATGAGAGGGAAAGGGAAAGAAAAGAAAAAAGAAAAGGAAAAGAAAAGAAAAAAGAAAAGGAAAAGAAAAGAAAGAGAAGAGAAGAAAGAAAGAGAAAAAAAAAGGAAGGAGAGGAAAGAAAGGAAAAGAAAGAATTCAAGGAAACAAAAGAAACGGGGGATGAAAGAGAGGAGAGAGAGATGGGGGTAAGGGCCTGAGAGAAGAGGGGTGGGAGTAAGATAGAGATAGCTTCCGCGCTTCGCGCGGGAGGGGGAAACTGAATTAAGACAAGGATTAAGAGTCGAAAACAGTACAATAAATCGTCTTCTTTCTCTAATAATTTAATTAAATTCAAAGCTTTCGCGCGAAGGGGGAAACTGAATTCAGACAAGGATTAAGAGTAAAAAAAACAGTACAACGAATCGTCTTCTTTTTCTAATAATTGAATGAAACGTCAAAGCTTCCGCGCTTTGCGCGGGAGGGGGGGGGGGGGGAGGGGGACTGAATTCAGACAAGGACACGGTACAACGAATCGTCTTCTTTCTCTAATAATTTAATGAAAGGTGAAAGCTTTCGCGCTTTGCGCGGGATGGGCGAAAATGATTGCAGACAAGGATTAAAAGTAATATTTTAATGAAACGTCAAGCTTTCGAGCTTCGCGCAGAAGAGGGGGGGGGAACTGAGTTCAGACAACGATCAAAAGTCGAGAACGGTACAACAAATCGTCTTCTTTCTCTGATTGATCAATGAATCTTCTTTCTCTAGTCAAAGCTTCCGAGCTTCGCGCGGCCTGAGGGGGAAACTGAATTCAGTCGAGAACGGTTCATCGAATCGTCTTCTTTCTCTAATAATCAAAAACAACTTCAAAACTTCCGCGCTTTGCGCGGGAGGTGAGGGGGGGGGGGGGGGACTGAAAAATAATTTAGCTCGATCCTGGCCCCGAGTTTAGAGGGTTAAATTTGTAGATATTGGGACATTGGCATTAATATATTTGTTGTTAATTGGTGGCTAGTTTTGTCGGTAATCAGTGCCTTCCACCCCCAACTGAAAAAGGTCTAGCGACGCCCCTAAATACGGGTCGATTTTTTGTGTATTACGAGCCGGACTTTGCTGCTCGAAAATATAATAATAATAATAATAATAATAATAATAGCCTAATAGTCCACTCCAAATTTTATTAAACCGAAACGGAAATTCTTTTTGCCCAATTGATAGTGAGCCCGGCAGCCTTTGAGCAGCGCCAGATCGACGTTGCTCTATCCCTTATTGTTGAACGCCAAACAAGGTAGCAACAACTTTTAACATCTTTTGGTATGACGCAGCCGGGGGTTCGAACCCACGACCTCCCGGTTGTGAGGCGGACGCTCTACTGAATGAGCCAACACTCCGGTATCCTTTACCGGACATTTTGGGAACATGAATACGGTCCCTCCGTTCCCGGAGTGGGGAGGGGGGGGGGGGGATTGATACACGTCTGTAAACACCCCTTTCAGCTCTTTTTTCGGATTGGATTGACGTAGTACGTGATCGCCGCACGCGTATTATTCCAGAATCTTGCCGATTTAATTTTGACCTAACTACCACACAGCGCCTCCTCCTACTCTCTTGCTGCCAGCCGAAGATGGCGAGATCTTCAAATTAGGACGCCCGGCGAAAAAAATGTTTTTAGGTTCTTGTTGTTGTTGTTTTTTGTTGTAATGGCAATCAGTCAAAACCTGACTATTATCACCAACGCCTTTCTTTTTAATATTAATTTCTTTCTTTCTCTTTTTTTTTTTAAATAAGAGTATCAAAAATATAATTTAAATATAGGCTTCTCTCTTTTTTTCTTATTCTTTTTTTTTCCCCCTTAAAATGAAATGAAAGAGAAAATAGATGAAGAAAAAAATAAAAAATAAAATAAAAATACGACAAAATGTAGATTTTTGTATCCTGTAGGTTACCGCGTAGTCCTGTCCGTTCTAAGACACCGTCCAGACACCGTCCTGTCTCTCGGGTGTAGACAGGGGGCTCCCTTTGGGATACATAAATAATCTGGAAACTCGAAAGAAGAAAGGAATTGATCAACAATTATAAAATCAAGAGGGTACTTTTCCGGGGAAATTGGCTTTGAGCGACCTCGCAGACTTTAATGAATCTTCGATCAAAAGAAAAACAATTTTGTGATAGAGTGGTGTTTATAATACATGTTGCATTGGATAATTAAACTTTTTAGGGGAAACAAACAAAATGTGGGCTTTTGTGAGTGGTGGTGCAAAAAAAAAAAAAAAAAAAAAAAAAAATGCTCGATTATTTTGGGTTAGTTGAAACGTTTCGTTCTTAGAACGAAACGGTATAAAGCGTTTTGAATGTTAGCTTCTGATGAATTTAAGAGCCTTAAAATATCGTCGGGATTTATACAATCTGTTTCATCGAGTAGCATGGATCTTTCAATTAAATATTTCGGGCACTTTGCTATAAAGTGTTCAGTGGTTTCTACTTCTCGACACGAGTTACAGTGTCCAGTTGGATGTATTCCCATTCGGCCTAGATCCGCGTTAAGTCCAATGTGTCCAAGTCGTAAACGACGTATTATCTTTTCTTTTGCTCGCTCTAGTTTGCAATTGAAGGTTTGTGCAACCGATTTTTGGATTGTTTTGTAATGTGTATTTGGAGAAACCTGCCATCTTAATTGCCACAGCTCGGTAAAATGCCTCTCTAAAATGCTGTTCACTTCTGAGATATTAAGGCTGTTTGTTATTTCAATGTGTTTGCTGAGGGCTGCCTTAGCATGAAAATCC